TTCTTTTTTTTTTTTTTTTTGAGAAATTGCTATTTGGTTGTTTATCTTTTTGTTCCCAGTATCTGAGTAATATGAATTATATCTTTGTATAGAACATGTGAATAGTAAAGAGATGTTATCTTTTGCTTACAGAAAGCCACGTGATTTCTGTACCTAAGACATGCAGAAAAGCACCATACACGCATCAGGTTAGGAAATACTAGTTTATCTACTTTCCTGATATCCACAGGCATTCACACTGTTCCCAAGGTGCCAAGGCAAAATAAAGCTTTTTCCAGAGCTGGTTTGTGGAGCAGAGGGCTTTGGGTTTTTTTGTTCCTTATTTTGAGTCCTGTGTAAAAAGGTGCAGGCTAAAGAAGGAGGCAACTCATCATATCCCTCAAGTAATATCTATAAAATGAAGCATGAGGCCTCTTCTTCCCTGTGGCTCCAGGAGGAGATGCAGACACGTGCCAGCACTGTTGCTTTCACCCGTTGCCACCTACAGGATAATATTTATGGTAACTGGTTTTGTGGCAACCATTGCTGCTGATGTTTAGGATTAAGAGATGTGTAGCCAGGTAGAATCCTTACTGGATTAGGTTTGCATTCTCCAATATGTGGAACTTAAAAATGCAATTAATAATGTAAACAGCAATTGCTAATTACTGCCACAGCACTGATACTGAGGACTTTTCAAAAAACCCTGTAAAACATGAGGGGAAGCCAGAAGGGTCGGGGGTTGTAGGGGTAACTTTCCCTTGGTTATTTTTTCCTGACAAGTTACATTCATTGTCTTTAGCCAGGCTGAGTACAGCCAGGAGGGCTGTATGAGATAAAATATATCTGCTGCTGCCAGAAAGAGGCTCTGCACGCTTCTTAATGAGCCCACTGCCAACCTTCCTCCTGTGCTCCCCAGAGCCGAGGGAACATTCACCCTTCCCACCTCGGTAACTTCCGCGCTCTTCCTCACCTCCGCACGGAAGGCAAAGAGCTGGGGAAGGGTTGTGGTTCTGTGCCAAGGGCGATGCCACCTGTGGGAAGGGTCAGAGGCTCCTGAAGGCTACTTTCATTATCAAGGGAAAAGGAAAGCAGCAGCTGCCACCAGGCTGGGCTCCTGGGGAGGGCTTCACTTGTTAGAGGGTCTTTTTCTGGTGCAATTTCTTAGACACACGTAGCTAATCTGTGCAGGAGCACTTGGATGGCCAGCGTAGGTTTTTCCCAAGCTAGCAACAGAAAAAGTTCTTCCTAGACCCGTTGTTCCATCCACAGTTTATAAACCAGCAGAATGTCTTTGTTCCTATTTAGGATTGAGGACTAACAAATTTGCAGTGTAACTTAAAAAGCCATGATGAAGTGTTACAAGACATTCCTAAGCTGTGGATGCAAGCCAGCCTCCTGTGTCCCAGAGTCCAGCAGTCACTTTCCAGACATTTCTTCTGGCATCAGGTGAGAAATCCTCAGGGACTGGTCTTTTCACAGCAGAAAGATCCCACATCCCTGGGTAACCACAGCTTTCTCCCACTACTATTTTTATTTCCATTACTATTTTTATTCCCACTACTATTTTTTTGTCCCCACTACTATTTGGGAGCGAGAGACCAAAAGAACAGGAAGAATTGTAAGGTCTGAAATGTACTTCAAGAGCTGCTGCCCTACTGAGCTGCACAAATGAGGCAGTGAGCATGCCACCTGCAGCACAGCCTGCTGGCCCAGCCTCCAGGCAAGGGGAAGTCCGAGGCCTGTCATCCCTCCTGCTGCACTAATAGGTTTCCTTTCATCACACCACCATAGGAACACCAGGGTTAATCCTTTGTTTTTGAAAATGGTTCAGTAGGCAAGAAAATAAAACATATTATTTGGGATTTCCCCGGCTGGGATTTCCCCCACCATCCTGTGTGAAACTTCTGCTTCTTAAGAAAAAAAATGTTTAAAAGACACAGGTATTAATGTAATTCTCCCATTATTTTACTGGATGCTGCTACACCAGCTTCAGATGTTCAGGCTGGTACTGCAGGCTGAGGAAGTGAGCTTCAGCTACAAAAATTAAATCCTAGTTTCTACAACCCAATTTATAGGACCTTCATCCCTTTTTAGCTATTTACTGTAACTTCTCTCAGAGATTCTGAAGAAACAATGTAGAATATGTACATGTACTGGGGGTGTATCATTGATTTCTTTGCATCAGATGATTCAGAGTGGCTGAGAGTGAGCCAGCAAAAGAAAAATTGAAGCCAGGCCCTTTAACAGCCAGAGTTATCTCTAGATTACCTCCCCTCAGGTCCTTGTCAATCATCAACCAGAGAAGTGACAACAGAGGAAAGAAACGATAGCGCCACCAACAAAAAAGAAAAAATAATTAATGACTTTATTTTTTTCTTTTTTTTTTAGTTCAGTTGGCCATCTGAGGTGCTAAAATTTCAACACCAATGAAGCAAGTGTGCATAAAAACAAACGGTAAAACACAACCAAACAGAAGAAAACAGGCTGGAACAGAGTTGGTTTTGTACAGGTAGGGTATTCGCCTTTCTGTTAACGCTCCACACATGCCAACCGTAAAAGCCTTGAACAATCTGAATATCAGAGTTCACGTTCACACTAAAGGGCAGATGCCAAAGCAACTCCCTTTGCCTGGATTAGACTTCACACACACACGCATGCACCCACAGAGTATTTAAATTACTGCAATGCCATCAGAACATGGCATCCTCCCCTTCTCACCTGCTTTCAGTGACATCCTCATCTGCCTGCTACCCTGCCCAGTACCTGCCAAGCAGTCCTTGAACAATCCAAAAGCAGGAACTTCTGGAAAGCTTCTCATCTCTGTTACGTTGCAAAGGTCAACAGCCAGCAATCTCTTTCTCTGTGAACTATATACAGGCTGGTTTTTAGTATGCTTTAGAGCTCTCTCCCTCGCAGACAGTGACAACTGAAATTCCCATCGCAGCTTTTCAGTTTGTATACAGGAGATTTTACAGTGCAACACCTCTCTCAATCCACTGGTGTGTGGTGTAAACACTTAATGGAAAACTCATTTTAGAAGAATGTTAACCAAACAAGGTGTAGCTGCTCACAAAAGGGAACTGCCGGCTGCTCTAGATCATGCTGTCTAGACCACTTAGAATACTTCATAACGTTCAGGATTAGGATGTATAAAAAATATTAAAACCCACCAGAGTGCACACAAATGTGGTGACTAGCTCTACGCAAGCACCGTGTTCTAACAGAGGCCTAGGCATTGCACAAAACTCAGATTCTTGACCGTGGGGGTAGCCCAAGGATCCACTGGTGCCTTTACATACAAACAAATATTTACAGAAAATGCAGAGACGGAGAGAGAAGGACAGACTTTTAAAACTCGCGGTTTGCTCTAAAATATGTTCAGCAATGCAGTTTATAACATGCCCTAGTGAGACCAGGGGGTATTGGTTAACTGAAAGAAGGAACATGTCTGAAAGTTGGAGCTGAAATGTCTTGTCACCTCCCCACACATTAGTTCTCTGAAGCTCAGAATTTTACAGCCAGTTGTGACTTTTAATGAGAATACAGTTAAAAGGAACAGAACAGCTAAAAAACAAAATAAAAAAGAAATGGTACTGTGAAAACAGCGGGTTAGTTGTTCTGGCAGTCCTCACTCCCCCATCTCCATTTGCCTCCTGGGCCTTTCCTTCCAGGAGTTGGTGTTCCCCTCCCTTCCCCGTAGGGGGCTGACGCGCTTGCCCCATCATCAGTGTGCCCATTTCAAAACGAACACGGCTCAGGTTCCAAGCTCGGCTCTCTTCCAGCCCCGGGTCAGGACCATGTCACCTGGGGACAGCCACCCTTGGGTGCCCAGGTCTCGGGAGCTGAGGGGCTCTTGGCTCTCCTCTCGTGTGAAATGGACACAACGCCATTGAATGCGCGTGGCAGAGGCACTGCTGCTGCGGGCAGCGCAAAGAGCTAGAGCATCCTGCTCGGATTCGGATACAAATAAGGAATCTTGTGCTCACAAGAGCCCTCTTCAGCTTTAAAAATACAAAATTTGAATTAAAAATATTCAGAGAGTAAAAAACCCACTATCTGATATGCAAGTCATATTCTTAAAGTGCAACTGAACAGCAAATAACAAGTTGTGCCTTTTACAACCATTTTGATATAAAAAGGCCTTTTAACATTCCCTTTTGTGTATTTTTAATCAATTTGTGTGTGCGATGTTAGCTCTTCATTCTCACTGCTGGAAGCCTTCAGCACAACCCAAAGAGTTTAGGGTTAGAATGTGTGGGTTTTCTGTGCAATAAGGTATTATACCCTCAAGTGATCTCACTCTTCAGCATGGCAAAGATCTGGCCAATGTCCCCTAGCATGAAAGGGAAAAGAAACCATCTGGTGTTTCTTCTTCAGGACTTTTTTCTGTTCTACAGCTCACATTCAATGACCTTTTGTTACAAGTTAGATGTGGTCCATATACCCAGTGCACTATAAAATGGACTGAGGTCAATTCTCTGCACAAGACAATTTACAGTAAACTTTCTATCTTTCTTCCCTCTTCCTGCACTCCAGCTTCCAGTGGCCCCTCAAATGCAGACTGTGTAAACTACCATTGCCAGTTTGAGTCAGGCAGCAGGCCCTGCACCAGCAAACGGGAGGGAATTGTGTTTGTTGGACATCCTGTTGGTAAAGCCAACACTCCTGGATGCTGGTATGGCAAGTATCACTTGCTAAACACACACAGTTATCAAGTAGCACTGCAGCTGCCTGTCTGCTTGGTTTCATGAGTGTCTGGATTTAATTTGTAATGCCTTAGCATAAAACACTAGGTGGAATAAAGGGAGAACACTATGGGTGGAAAACACGTGTTTCCACAATTAGCAGCCAGCACTGCTCAGAGTCCCCATGGACACTCCTGCCCATTCTCCCTCCACCTGGAGCATTCTCCCAAGCCAGAGGTGGATTCAAATCATAGACCTTGGCTTGCAGGAAAGACCCCTCTGAAGGAGGTAGAGAGCCAACAGCAAGAAACCATGCAAACTTCTGTGCTGGGGCAAAAGACTGAAGGATGTTCAGCCCTGCTGGGGTGCCTCGCACCGGCAGTGTCAATGCAAGCTGGAAGAGTCAGCACGCTGTACAAATGTGCTTGGGCATGGGACACGCTCTCAAAGACGTCAGAAAGCAGCCTTGCTACTTCTTTAACAGGACAAGAATGCAGCATCCCAAGGAGGGAAACCTTGGAAGGTTTGAAGGATGTGAAGCATGGGACGCATCCCCAGTGCACGGCGCTGTTTCAGCTCTGCAGGGTCGGTTAAGGACACGGTTTGCCCAGGGATTCTGTCCCACAGGGAATGGTGCTGAGCTGCTCAGTGCATATCCTGCTCACCGGCTATCTTGTGGTTACGGTCAGAACCCTCCTGGCTGAAAAGCAGCAGATTTGCTAACTGGGCCAAAAGGAGCTTCTTCCAATAGATGCAGCAGGAAATGTGCTATTTCTGTTTTCATGGAAATCCCTCAAACTGTATCAGGACTGTGAGGATCCCCTCTTTCAGTGAGAAAGAGACATATGGGATATTTCTACACCTCACAGTTTTGGCTTTCTTGTTATAAAAATGTAAAATTTAAATAAATATAGGTTTGTTAATCCAAAAGAGAGAATCTGGGATGTGGAAGAAAAGGATGCTGAGAACACAAATAGATTCTTGAACTCCATGAGTGTACAGGATTTTTTCATAGAGGAAAACTCCTAGGGCAGGATGCATCCATGGGTACATAAAGGCTGCCCTTGCTGTGAAGCAGGGACCAATCCGCAGTAGTGTCTTTCTCTAACAGAGTTAAAACACTCCCTCCACAATCAAATATGTGTAACAATCAAATTATTAATAAGAACACTAATAAATAGCCACAGGTAACAACGTCCAGTAATTTTGAAGTGGAAGTTGTAGGATGCAGCAAGCACACACACCCATCACTCGTCCATTTTTTTTCCTAAAAGATACAAAAATGAATCTTCTTTCAAGTATTAAAAAAATAAGTTAATTGACATAAAAGGGTCAAAGTGACTGAGGGCCCAGGCAGGTCTTAAGCTTCGTTTCCAATGTGCAAAAACAAAATACAGAGGAAAAAAAAATAAAATAAAAACACTGAAAAGTCTTAATGGTGGTTCAGTCACTTAAGGGCTTCTCCCTTTTAGGGGCCTAATAACCAGGGAATGCTGCCTGGGAACATCCCTGCCCCAGCACACACTTACCACTGTCCCACAGCAATATTTTCCAGTGTCAAAACAGTCACAATAAAAACAGAACAAGGAAGCCCACCAGCCTCTGAGCTGTGGCCATGAAGACTAAGGCCAACAGTAGCTGTCTCTCCAGTGTGTAGCAAAGCAGATGGGCATCTTCCCTTTCTCTTCTGCTCCTCTTGCTCCCCACAAGAAGATTTAGGAGGCTAAGGTAGGGAAAGACTCCACTGATGCCCACTTCTCTCTAAAAACCAAGAGGCAGAGAGTTCCATCACACATAGCAGTATCTTCTCTGTCTTCTATTTCTTCATACCCATGCATAAGGATCAACTGCAGGTTTCTTTGGTGGGGAGGAAGACTAAAGCAAAGAAGGTGTTGCCCTGGGCTTCTGGAGCTCTCTTGGACAGCTGACTCCACTGCTACAGGCTGCTGTGGTTTTTCAGGAAGGGTTGCCGCTTCCCTCCCTTTTATTAGAATTGGTGTAGTGAAAACGGGGAAGGAATGGACTGCCTTAAATCCAATGTAGTTAAGGGTACTTCTTCCCTTAACCTCCTTCCCCACACATGGATTATTCCCCCCTCCCTCCTACCACACACACAAAATATGTGTACAGGACCTCAAGGAGACTCCACAGTCTCAACTCATTTCTTCAGCTTGGCTTGCAGACATGTAAAACTTAAGCTTCTGGAACCAACACACTTATCAAAAGGCTTCTGAGTGCTTCAAACCAAATCCCTGCATGCTGTTGGACCCTTCGGAGGTTTCCCCTTCAACATCTTCCTATCCATGTAATTCTGGCAAACTCAGGGTAGGCCAACTGGACAACACAGACCAGCAGAGGTAAATGTGTTAAGCTCAGGACCAGTTCAAGCTGAAACCTTTGGAAAGCATGACTGCCTCCAGGTCCTTGTCTTCTTCTTTTTCTCGAAGTCGCTGCTCCTCAAGGAGAGCCACAAGGGAATCTCTCTGCTCCACTACTTCAAGCATTTCATTCAGGATCCTCTTCTCCTCCGAGAGCTCCTCATCTGTCTTCAGGTGATCTACAGAGATATCGAAAACTATCAGCATACACAAGGCTAGAAATACACACATACAATCCATGCAATATTCCCTTTTGCTCTCACCTTCTACTGCCATCCTCTCACGGAGTTCCTGCTGCAGTCGACTCTGCCTGTCTTCCAGTTCTAGCTCTCGAGCACTGAAAGGAAAAGAGCAGGAATCCAAGTTCCAGGTGTGTTAAAATACTGCATACATCGCTTCATATTCATTCTCAGTTTCTGCTCCCTCTCTAGATATCTGCTGCGCATTTTATCAATCTCCTTTGGAATAGCTCTTAACTGTTTTTGAAAGATTTAATTGTGCTTTTAGCATTTCAAGTTCTTTGCCTTCAGCTAGGAAGTGCAATGTCAAAAGTAGAGCAAACTAAATACAGAGCAGAGTCAAAGAGCAAATAGATCTGCAATGCCTCTACATATCATCCCCTGCTACTTCCTACTCTAAAATAAAAGTTATTTATTAACAAATGATTTATTACTTAAGGTCATGTCAGGCCATTGCAAACACCACCCTGAGACTTTACTGCCACTAAGGCCATCAGCTTCCACATTGTTGAGGTAAGCTGACACACTCCAAAATGAATTTCAGTGAAGTTGCACAACAGGAAAAGGAAAAACAATCAATTTCATTAATAGGAAAACAGCTTTACTATCTGAGCCCACATGAGAGGCACTGGGGTCCCACTACAGGCAGAAAAGGGCCACATGGCAAAGGTGACTGAACTAAATGCTTTTGGCCATGCTTAGAAGACAACTTTACCAAAACTAGAAGGAGTCCCATGTTATTTCTGCAAGGCTCAAAAACACTTGCATAAACAGGATGTGTTTTATACAAGAACAGCATGAGAAGGGCTCACATACCTGTACTTCTGCATGTGCACAAATAATTGAAACTTTAATCCCTTACCACTATTATTCCTTTTCCAGCCACTCCTCTAAAAAGGACTTGGATTCCTGTCTCAGCCAAAGAGAGGCTGCTGACCTCCTGGCCTTACAGGGAAGACAATATTGACAGATCTTCCACTACTATTTATGACAAAATCCCCATTTTTTCCACATTCACTCACAATATCATCAGTTCAGACTCGTAGCGAACCAAGGCATTCTTCTCCTGCACCAGCTTGAACCACTCCTGCATCAGCTTGGGGTCATCCTTCTTACCCATGCCTGCCAAGAAAGAAACCCGGTAAATTTTCAGGTAATGCCCTGCAATCCTTACAAACCCAAACTGCAAATACAACAATGGGGCAAAATGTGCAAAGAAAGCCGAGCAAGATGCTGCCAGAGCACTCCCAAGCCGGGTCCATTCAGTTTGCCTACAACACTCAGTTGAGTGGAAGTCAACCTCCAAAAGGATTCTCTTCTCTTTGGAGCCTCCTTTTTTTTGCTTTTTTTTTTTTTGTTTGTTTCTGATATTCTTGTGATTACTTGTTTCTTCCTCACTCTTACTGCAGAATGCCCCAATTTTTATGAGTATTCAACTTTTCCTTTCATTAGAAGAATTTTATAGATGCTCATGCCAGCTACTTAAACATATGCTCATCAGAAAAGGATTCAATTGCCACTCCATGTGTTTTACCTTTGTTTTCTTCAATTGCATGTCCTCATGTTTTTCTTTTACTAGCCAAAAGTAACATCTTGTCTCTTCTTTTTTCAACAATTAAGTAAATCTTTTCTGACTGCTCCTCCTAGCCACACATATCTATTAGTCTTGAAGATCCCCCTGCACAGTGAACACAGAAACTAATTCTACTGTACTGCATGCCAGCGCTAGAAAGGAAAGGAACCCCCAGACACATTTGCTAATATGAAAGAAGAGTAAAGAAGCCTTGGGCCTTGACCACCTAGTACAGAATTCTTAGCTGGTCCTCTTATTTTAGAATGAGCTCCTAAACTTATTCAACAGTCCACTGATGAGTCTTGTGTTTGGCAGGGGTCATGTGGAATAAATGCAGAATGCTGTTCCCAAAGCCTTCTGTTGACATTTAGCAAACACAAGAACTTACTGAGGAGGCTCCTTCTGGCAAGCTCTTGGTCTGGGCCACTTATTCCACACTGAACCACCTGCATCTGAATGCTGTGATGTACACCAGACCCCATCAAGGCCAGTGGCAAGGTTCCTGCCTATGTGGAAGTAGAAGCAGGAGCAAGGCCTCAAATCAAGCTCAACAGCACTTTTGGATTGCTGCATCCCCTCAGCTCGCACTGCACGTTACCTAAGCACCCCAAGACAACTACCATCCCTGTCTCTGCTTGTTATTATGGGTGCATACTCTGTACATCAAGAACAAAAGCTCTCAAACAGTCCAGCTAATGCTAAAATAATCAAGCAGCACGCTTACTACTCAAACTCTACGACACAGACGCACCACAAATACCACATTAATGGCTACTTAATTCAGACCTGTGCCCTGCCTCATCCTCAGTATGTCAGAGAAGTTACTCAAGGGAGAGCCTACAACTCCTAGTAAGCTGCAGCTTGGGCTGCCTTTCACCTGCATACCAGCCCCTCAGGGAATTCCAGACTCGGTTGTAGGACCCTAAGAGCCCCCGGCTCCCTGGACTTTATACCAGTGTGTTGCTCAGTTCCAAGCATTCCTTTCTGAGCGTCTCTGCACAATATGCCCACGTGGCGACAGGAGAGGGAGACTGTACATGCAGATGTCCAGTGCTGTGGCGCCATGGAAACACTGGGAAGTCTCCCCTTCCTTTCCGATGCCAGGATGTATAGAAAACAAATGCCTCTAAGGAAAAGCCAAAAACACAACGCCACTGACCTATGAAATACGTAAGTATTTTTAAACAGCCAATGAGTAGAGGAATAATGGGAGGATTGGAAAGGGAGCACTGACAACTGATGTGAGGGAGGACCATGGAAAGCAGATAAGTGGTTAGCAAAATTACACCATGAACACACATAAACAACCCCTTCCCCATGCCTTGGCAATGGAAACTCTACAGCAAATTCCATTTGGGATAGTTAAAGAATGCACTCAGCAAGACAGATGAAGGGAAACTAGTCTAACTTAGGGTCTGTTGGTTTTTAAAGTTCAAGGATGTTTTTCAAATCAGTCCTTATAAAGACACAGTATTCCTTTAATCCCTATATGCTAATTAAAAGGCCATATTTAAGGAAACAGATTGTCATCCCTTACCCCACTTTCCAAACATCTTTCAGGAGGAATAGAGAAATTGAAGCCACCAAATGAAAATAGAAACTTTTGAGTGTGACACTTCTGTTCCCAGAGCTGCTGCCCATTGTCCCTCCCAGTCACTGCACCTTCTCTTGCACAGCTGGGACTAGCAAAAGGGATACTGTACCTTTAACAGCTTGCCACAGGCTCAGAGGAGCTGGTTACCAGGTAGCTACAGACAAGGTTGGTGTGGGGACACAGCAAGAAAAGGGCTGGGGGCCTTGTGGCCACTAGCTGACTAGTGCTGCTATGACAACCCAGCTGTGGGCAGGGAGGACACGGGGAGTGTGAGGTTACGTTACCTTCATGGGCACAGCAAGGGCAGAAGGAGAGAGGTCTACGACGTGGTGTCCCGGCATTGGGCTCAACTTCAATAGGACCAAACGAGGAAGAGGAAGAGGCAGGAGAGGAAGAGGAAGTTGGAAGTGGAACGGAAGAGGAGGAAAGGGGTGAAATAAAAGACAAGCAAAGGACAAAAAGCATAAGAGTGAGAAAGAAAGGAAACACAAGAAGAAAAGAAAAGAAAAAATACAAGAAATGGAGAAGCAGAAACAAGGGATACAGTCTACAGATGAATAATGTCCCTAATAAGCACAGATAACAGGTAAGAGGTAGACTGAGGTACTGGTGAACTCTTACTGAGCTGTATACAAACACCAGGCAGGAGGTTACTGTTACTGCACTTTTCCTGATGCACAGTTTTCAGGTGCAAGGTATTTAACTGAAAGGTTTGTGACCCAGATGTCAGGACGAGTAGAGATATATATTAACTTCTGCTGACAAATGTCAGATTTCAAGCAGGGTTACAGTAAGTCTTGCCTGCATGCAGAAGACACCAGCTGTAAGCAGCCACCCTACCTTAAGCTCTATCAGGACCATGCTCTTATCACCGTGGCAGCATCCACTGATGGTAAAAGTGTCCTTTGTAATGGAATAGAATGTCTTCAGACAGGGAACATCACAGGGAAAATCTGATTACCATGGAACCAGCCTGCCAGGATCTGCTGTGTCAAGCATGGTGAGTACCCATGTACCCCACTGGACTGTTGTGGGAAAAGGCTTTTACATGGATAAAATGATTCACATCAGGGTCTGCAGGGGCAGTGACCAGCTGAGGACTTTGCAGAGTTAAACCAGTAAATTTAAAGCTCTCCCTTCTGGCATTCTCATTCCACAAAGCATTTTAAAGCTTACGAGTCCTGTTAGTATCAGTGTCTTATTGAATCTTTATCATCTTTTCCATCAGTCAGTGAAGGACAAAAATTTCTCATCTCTCAAAAGGTTCAGCTGTTTTAATACCAAGAATATGCTTTTCAGCTGTAGTTAACATTACAGAGATAAACAGCAGGCAGTTACCAATATCACTGATAGTTACAGGAGAACATGCACCAGGGAGATGATGAACTCAGAAACTCAGAATGGAACACTTACTGGGCTCAGGGCACAACTGCATTTATAAAGAGGAGGCATTTCTGTGTTGGGAAAAGGCATCAACTCCACAACAACAGTATGGCAAGAACAACACTCGTTTTGGAGAAGTCAGCAGAGTTTGATGTTTGTGGTTCAGAGAAAGCTCTACAAAATTCGAGTACCAGTGAACTGGGAAGGCTTTAGAAGGGACCATCACAGAACTAGACCAGCACATGGAGGACACACTGGAGCAAGAGGGAGAGCACACCAGCTTCAAAGGCCGTGACTGAGCAGCACAGCTTTCTCAGAAGAAGAAACCTCTGTACTGGAAGCAGGAAGGGGCAACATCAGGAGAGGTGCCACAGCTGGCCATAGGACAATTACAAATGAAGCATCGTACCAACAGTAGTTGAGAAAATACCAGAACATTAATTATAGCTGTTCTGAATGTTCCAACTTTTTCATTTAAAATAGAAAAACACTAAGGCTTTTTTTTTCCTACAACTGCCATTTCACAGATCAGGTTACAAAAGCAAAAACAAACAAGAAAAACCCCAAACCACAAAAGTACAGTGAAGAATATGCTTCCACACAAAGCAGAGCATTTAGTGCATGATACTTGTTAAACGTTTTTTATTTCCCATCCTATCTTATTCAAAAATAAATATTTAAGCTAAAAGCTTTAATACTCTTAGTTTAACCACTATTTTGAGAGTGGCCAGGAAGATGGAGATTTAACTGTATGGAAAAATCCACCTCTTTCAGGGTTTGAGATTTCATTCAGAACTGGGGGATTTGATACATTTCAAGCCATGGGCACAGACACATGGTGAAGAACTTCCAGTTTTCCATATCTGAGCTGAAAATAAATAGCCAGTATGTAAAAGTGTCATTCATCTCATTGTAAAATGGCCACAGACTACTAGCTTTTGTCATCAGTAAGCAAGTAGGAAAGGATCCCATCTTTGGTCTCCAGTAAAAAGCCCCAGGGATCTCACAGCACCTGACAGAGCTCACTCCCCACAACTGTATTTTCCTCCTCTTAGTTATCTTCCTACTCTTGTCTAAAGAAAATTTGTCCTTGAATCAAGTGACAAAGTCCATGATATCTACACTAGTCCTGCTACTAGAAAAGTCAACATGTTTTTTCAGTAAGATAATAAACATAACCTTTACAATTAAGATCCTTTCTAGCTATTCCAGATGTAAATTACAGTTAATTACATCAGTGAATACAGGTTATGATCACTGCAATTACTTTGAAAATCATTTCTATCCAAAGTAGGATGATTAGCAAGGCTTTTAGAAAGCCTTATATATGTATTTCCTTATGTATTGGAGCTCTTTAACAGCGAGAACAAAGTGCAACTGAAAACTTACTTCCCATGGATCTCTAAAGCTTATTTCATGGCTTATTGTTCCAAAAGCCATTACTAATCCTACAGTAAATATTATTATTATTATTACTGCATTGTTTAGAGAAGAGAAATCACCACCTCCTAGTCTCACTAAATAGGATCATCACTGTAAGACAATTTTTCTGGATGTGGAGCCAGGGCCAGATAGGGAAAAAAATCCATTTGTTGTGTAAATTAAAAAAAAAACCTCAACAAACCTAACCCACCCCCCCTTTCTGTTTAAGTCTCCTTCACCACCAAAAATATACTGACACAGGTCTTCACCCACATGGAAAGAGTGCTGCTGGCAGCAGCAACACCAGCTGAAGCAGTTTGGAAGGAGCTGAAGGGCAAGAGAAGAACCATTTCTGTGGCCATTCCCTTCTTAGGTTCCTCCTGTGCTGCCAGCAACAGTCTAAGGTGAGGTCATGTCCTCTGGACAGAAAATTACAATTTTTTTTCAGCAGAGGGATAAAGCTGCCAACAGAGTGTGTTAGTCAGGAGTTGCTCCCTTTCAGTGCCACAAGTCAGCTCTTCTTTTGTGTAAAGTTTTGGCAGCAGAGCTCAGCAGTCCAAGCTGCTGGCAAGCCAGAGCACGGTTTGGAGGCAGGAGCTGCAGCTTATTTAGGAAAGAACTGTGCCCCAGTTCCTGATCACACTGAACATTCCTGAGAGGCAGAAGCTCTGCCTTGCACACCAGACATGTCCCATCAATGAAGTGACTGGAATTACCTTGCTTCTGTGTAAAAAAGCCACAAGAATGACCTTGTTTGTCACAGCACTCTTGAAAGATTGCAAACTTTGCTACAGTGGTGGAAACCAAGAGCCAGGTCAAGAATAAATACCATTGCTTCAAAGTCTCTTCAAAACAAGGACCAGAAATTGTATAGCAACTATGAAAATACACCTTCATTTTCACTGTACACTGTTCTCTGTTACAGAAGCTACATTGGACTGTTGCATTCTTTTTTTATCTTTATTTAGCTGTTGATTAAAGAGCAATTCCTCAGACTGGTTTTGTCCTTTTCCTCTCTAGCTCCATAACACTTCTTCACAATCAGAAGCACAGTGGTCAAAATGATCCATCAGGACGAAGAAAGCACAGCACAAAGTTTGGGGTGGCAGACCCCATTATCCCCAATCTACAGCTCACACCAATCCCTTTCACTATTTGCCCCTGTTCTTTGATATGAGAGCTGTCATGATTTCTGAGATGAGGAGAGTCACTGCAAGTTAAATTTACTTGAACAGACCAAGAGGGAATCACATCCTTGGCAAGCTTTGCATCCAAAAGCTTTGATTTCTATATTGTTGACTAATCATGGTGCTTTGGGAAACAGCAACACTGGACAGGAAATTCAGCTCTGAGGCAAATCTCAGTTCTGTGGCACTTGCCCTCACAAGCTGAAAGCATGACACTTTGGAAATTTATTCTATTAATAAATTTCATCCCTTATTTATCAGGAATACTAAAAGCTCTGATTTCAAATCAGTGCTTAAAATATGGATCAGTTCAAAAGAGATCATTACGTCGAACAGCAGTGGTCACAGTAAATATCCTCTTTTCCACCCTTAAAAAAATCAGGTTATGGTCAGAAAAACAAGTACTGAAAAATAAAGCATTCCAACTTTACAATTTGGTGAAGTTGTTCAACAGCAGCATTGTTAAAAACCAAGGATACAGAAAGGCAACTCTTGGAGAACAGCATCCACAGAACTGCAGGTGGAGAGCAAGGATTTTGACATATGTCCCGCAAGCACATCACAGTTTATTACATCTGGGTCAAACTCAATATTCTCTACAGTACAATAACTAGAAAAAAACCTGGGGAAAACTCAAAGAGCACTAGATTGTCATGCAAATCGAACCATTTTTATTTCTCCAGCAGAACAGGGTGGGGGAAAGGCAAGGAAGGGAAGGAAAAAAAAAATGGGGCAAGCAATGGTTGGAGCAGAACACACACACAAATGATTCCACAGAAGTCTTCTGCTTCTGCTAGACCTTGAGGCACTTCAGAATGCACTCAGAATGAATACAGCCCTGCACTGACCCCGTTTCCCAAGACTTGTTTTTGTGTGCAGAAAGAAGCAGGTAAATGGCAATTGCCTAACAAGTACTGGTACTTAACAAGTTCTGCTTATCAAGTGCTCTTTCCGACTCCAAACTTACAACAAAGAAAACAAGTTACCAATTCACTTCAGTGTCAAAACCAGCTGCAGACTGTAAACAATGTTTATCTTATAACTCCACTCCTCTTTCAGAGGAGCTGTGCTTGCCAATCACAAGAAATAGGACTGATCCCCACTTGAATATATCAGACTCCAGCCTTGCAGAGTTAGACCTGCAAGACTTGAAAGGACATAGTAAGCTCAAATGTTTTAAATAAGTTTAAAAAAGGTGAAGTTGTTGTAGAGTGTGCTTTAAACAGAGTACAAAGATTTAAAAAACCAAAACAATCGCACTTCCCTGTTTACCTGATGTTCATAAGGCTCTTGTCAAGAAGGGAGAACACGTGTCTGAAATCAACACTATCAAACTTACCAGCTCCCTCCCCTACATCCTTCTTGCCTCTCTTGGCACACTCCAGCCAGTGTGTGGCTGTTTATTTAATGATTCCCTGCTGGCTGCAAGGAAAAGGAAGCTGCTCACTTGAACACAGAGGAAACCATGGAGGTACTTCTCAGAAGCAGACAAGTGGGTTAGGAGGAATTGAAGTTGGGACTAAGGAGGCAAGGTGACTAATGGAGAATAGACAAAGGAGATGGAGAAAAAGGGTAAGGCATGAAAGGAGAAGGCAGATTTGAGATGAAGGCAGGACCTAAAATTTACAGACAAGTAATGGTGGGCAGAAGAGGAAGCAGAGCCCAAAAATTTTGGAAGAAGTCCAAAGGCTGGGATTTAGACTGTGGAGACTGTGTCAGTGGGAAGAGGAGACCAGGAATAGCTAGTGGAGAGAAATAGGAGGTCTGAAGGGTGGAATGCTAGGATTTCTTTGTCAAGAAGGCAGGATTAAAATTAAATGCCTGAGAACAAAAATGGAAGTGGGGTAAGGAGCTCTGGATGAAATAAGACAGGATCAGGACAAGGACCGTCTCAAAAGAGGGAACAAAAGGAAGGACAAAGAGGAGTATATGTCCACCAGAACAGTGCATCCTTCCACTGTCTGGCTCAGAATCCATATTTTCAAGTCTCACTATTCCACAGCTGCCAACAAACACCTATAAAATCCACTGATTGTGTCCTATTTCCTCTCCATAAGGATCTACCCAGAAGATGACAACCTAGTGTTGCTACCAATTATTCCATAAGGACATGAGACAGCTCTCTGTGGTGGATCTGAAGGTTATAAATCTGTTGATATATCAATATAGTATCAAGTCTTCATTTCAGTTGACTCTTCTAATGTTCTTTTAGCCACACCACACATACAATATACACACAGGAATAATTACTCAGAATTGAAATGTGACCATCTGCAGCATGAAATGAAACATCTGCGTTACAGCAACGGTACAAAACATTTCAGAACAGGAAGAGAGGATTATGACATCTGAGCAGAGCAACGGAGCTAGTTAAGATAGCAATCTGTAATCCTACACATTGAAAGTTGACCAGGATGTCAGAAGTTACTACTCCCCTTGCAGAAGTTGTTGTGCAATCTCTAACAACTAAATATTACCAGTTTACAGATAACTTTGCAAAGTGCTTTGCAATTTTTGTTAATATTCTATGACAGCATATTACTAGAGTCATGCCCATGCCTCAGAGACATGGGCTGCTGATAGATGTTGCAATTAACTGTGCAGCATCCAAGCTGGCTGCAGTGCTCAGCAGGGCCTCCAGGGATTTTAATGGCACTCCACCCAGATGCAGCATCCTGCACAGACATGTTAATCTTGAAGCTGAGCTCTGTATCTGCCACTTGAGCTGACAAGTATCACCAGAGTAATGTATCTCTTGTGGCAAAAGTGTTCTGGCAGCCCCAAAAGCAAATATAAAGCAAGTTACAGAGGCAACAAAATAATACTACAAAGCTGCATACTCCAGGCTATACTGGCTCACTGCATTTAAAGGGATACTGCCCAATATAGTTTTTTTAAAGTTTGTTTTGAAAACAGTGGTTTTGAGATGAGCAGAAATTTGATAGAGTTTTAAGATGTATCAACAGTTTTTAAAATAACCATGAATATTGCCTCTGACTGTTGGAAGCCCAAGTGACTGAGTCACCACATAAATAAAAGCAGCCTGTTCAGAAATGATCACTCTGAGATGACTGAGCTCAGAGAAATGGAAAAGTGAACACACAAAGAGATAAACATTCCATTTCCAATTAAGATTTTCTGCAGCACAGCAAATTTTTTTAAAGTGACAGTGTCCCTTTAAGTGAAGATGATTTTGCTTTTCTTCAAGCCACTATTAGTGATTTTGATGGGATCTCTGTCTCTAAAGAGGCATTAGGAGCAGAGGCAGGAGGAGGGAGAGGTGTAGTGGAGATAGCATTAAATAGGGATACGGGTCTGTTAAGTGTAATTCAGCATCAACCCTTTTACAGCTCCTACTCTATGCACATGTGAGTATGGGCCAGCCCTGGTTGGATAAAACCAGGAAGAGATTTTCAGAGTCTCTCTGCAGGAGACAGCCCAGGAAAGAATGCCAGAGGGACTGAACAGTGAATGAAGCACAGGGCTAGCAGAGGACTATCACATCAAAATTAGCACAGGGCAGCAAATCAGATCTACTGAGGAGGAAAGTCTTCCATTGTGAAACTTGCACTTGGGTGGATATTCTGAACTCAGGTGGATGTTCTTGGATAAAAGTCTATTTTGCTGTGAGTAATTCACAACAGACAGGTACAGGTAGACAATATGTGGGACAGCCTCCCTGGAGCAGGAGAAAAAAATGGATCTTTCAAGGAACAAATTCAGAACACAATGAAATCAGGGAAGACTTCCAGGGATGTGTCTTGGATCAGGCCTAGAGTGTGTGGATCTTTCCCTCTGCAGAGCTGGTCTGCAATGCAGTCCCTCAAAAAAACACAGCTTAGATCAATTAACTTTCTACTCTGAAAGATAAACTAGATGAGACCCTCAGATAATAAGCAACTGAGCAGAGTTCACTTTCTCTCGGACCTGCTGACAGACAGATGTGTTCACTTCATGAGAACAGATTTTGGGTGGTTAAACTAGCAAAGGAAATTATAATTTTCAAGATTGGCAAACGCTAATAAAATGTCATTTGCAACCCAAAAGTTAATCACCTACTGAGGGACTCAGGAAGTAACATTAATTAAAGTAAGGGCAGAACCATGGTGCAGAGATGACCAGATTCTTCAGTGAAAATGAGAACCAAACACTCTAATGTGTGTTTAGCACTAAATGGGGTACTAAAGCAATAGCATAGCAAGAAGCTTAATAGCTGTATAATGATGCAAACTGGATTCCAGCAAAAACAACTGGAACTCTTAACAGCAGATTCTTTTCTAACCTTATAAGACAAAAAAGAAAGAAGACAAATCTGTCATCTGCAAGTGTTTTCAATGTCCCTTGAGGGAGCATTTTTGTTTTGTTAGATCAACAACACACTCTGTCTTTTTTGGAAGGAAAAAACAAGCCTCAGAAGGGCAAGATGGAGGCAATAGCATGACTAATCCTTGACTGCGCTGTTTGCTCCAGCTGTCCCCCTTAAAATACTTTCCCTTAAGAAAACTTCAGCGATGGAGCTGGACTTTCCAAAGGAGAAGCAAAAAACCAGAACAACCTTCCACTGCTAGCAGGGAAGGTGGCTGGAGTGAAAACAGAAAGCAAATTTAGAAAAAAAAATCAGCACTGTGAAAAATAGAAGAGGGAGCCTTACACATGGTTTGTGGAACATGCCAGGATCTCCTGTTCCTGAGCTGGAAAAGGGGTTCTGCTATCATCAGTCATGTGCAAGGGCTGTTTCTTCTTGTTTGTGAGCCAAGGATGGGAGAAGTAGGTGAAGGGAGGGTGGGGAGGAGTGTCAGCAGGGTTAGTGTCAGCAGGAGGTTCAGCCATACATACCACCCAGATGCAAGTCGATGAGGTCACTGTAATAAGACTCTCCCCAATAGTCTACAACAAGGAATTGGTGAAGACAGAGTTATTGAGTCAGATACCCACCCTAGCCCCACACAATCAAAGCAATATATGAGAAAGACACAGAAACAAAAAAAGGCCAAATAAGAGACAGGCAGCTATACACGTGGGCACACACACATCTATATATACAAACACTACACATCTCTCTTTCTCTGTATTTATACATACACAAATATATCACAAACATATATTAGGAAGATGAAGAGAAAATTTCCAGCAGGCAGGCAAGGACTTCCAAGGGGAAAAAAAATCAAGAAGTTTACAGAGACACTTCACCTATTTGTGTTTGCAGAGTACCTGTCCCTGATGTCTCTCCTGTTCTTGCTGAGAAAAGCAGAATTAATCCTGTTGCTTTGGAACTGAGCAATATGTCAGAAGGAAACAGTGTAATTTCTGCAGGAAAGGTGTAAGGGTTGATTTCTTGAAGGTGAGTGAGTGGAGGATGGTGAATGGCACGCAGGTGGGAGGCACTGAGCGCTGACACAATGGCAAACACTCCGGCATAGGAAAGTGGGATTGTCTGATTGATTGATTTGATCAATTGATTCAATTGATTTGCATCCTGCTGATGCAGTCTCTGCATTTTTCAGGACAGAGATGTGCATTTCCACAGCTGCTAGAGACAGGTGCACCATGAGTGTAGCACTGTGGAACATTTCATAGGGAGGAGACAGATGGAAGTATTGAGAGCAATATTTCTCACTGCATATGATTAATTTGATGTAAAGAGGTGGCTCTTAAACTTCTCAGTATTGATCTGACAGTAGATGTTTTCCAAGCTCTTAAAAATGACTATCAAGGTTTATGCTAGAGGGAATAAAAGGAAGGTTCTGGAAATTTCTGATTTGACATATTTTTAAGTTAATAATTGAAAAAGAAGAAAAATTCACAGAGGAAATCCAAGTCATTAGCATGTCCAAACAGGCGAATGCACTATAATACAAAGTACTAATATTGTGTTACGTTAATTAACTCATTCAAGGTGTCTCTTGGGACACCAGAGAAAACTGAGGAAATTCTTCGTTGAGATCCTGCCTTACCACTGTAATGAAATACTGTGATGCAGAAGGGAGGGGGCAGGGAGGGAAGGAAAACAAGGGATGACAGTAGCTCAGACCATCTGTGTATGACAGACTTGCCCCTGAAACAGTTTACACTGCCTCTTGAAACAAAGCTTACCTTCCTAATCATTCATTCTTGTTATGAATGCAACTATCAAAGGCTGAGATTTTTCAAAGATAAATCACAGAGAACACAGTAAGGCAATTAAGTAATCACAGGTTGTGAAATTTTTCTGAATCAGAAACTAAATGTTAGATTGAGCATTCAGTTTTTGAAAGAATAAAAGACCAACTGTGCCATGCCTGAGGCTGAGCTAATTAAAAAAAAAGGAGATAGCCAAGAAAGTATTATTATTTTGTCAGAATTAAAGTTGATGGTGATCTCCAAAATGTTTCTGAGTTTGATTAGTTGAAGAGCAAGTATCACCCCATAAATATTCCTTGACAAATAGCAGATAATGGGTGAAATCTCTGGAATGAATATTGAGCTGCCTGTATCTATTGCTAGGATCTAAAGCTGTAACCTCTCAGGAAAACAGCAGGTCATCACTGTGAAGAATTTATTATTGACAATCTTCTCAGCATAAGTTACTTGCCAATAACATATTAAGGATGATGCAAAATGGGTAGAAAGTAGAAACAAAATTATTCTAAGTAAATAAATTTTTATCTATAGAACTGGTTTTCATTCTTACCAATTATACTGAAAAATACTTTTTTCTAAAAATGGAAAGTGGCCCAGCTGTGAGAGATTTGAGGAATTAAAGTTAGTGGAAGACCTCTACAAAAGAAAAAATTGCAATTCTTTACAGACAAGAAGATGACTAAGAAGCAATATGCTAGAAGATGATAAACTACCTAGAGAAATAGTTCAGATGGTCTTGTCTGTCTTTTTCTATAACAGAAAAAGAAAAGAATCAATGCAAGTTGCAGAATTCTGTTTCTTCTGTCTGAATTTTTAAGTAGTAAGAAACTACTGTTAACATTACCCAAAACTTCTTATTTAAATGCTGATCAATAAATGATTTTTTTTTTCTTTCCCTGCAGGGAAGGAACCTGAAAATCCCACTCATTACAGAGCCTAATACATTGTCCCAGAACAGTTAACACTGGCTGCTGCCTATGGAAGAGCCATTATTTCCATGCTGTACTGCAATCCTTCTCTATTCATGTGGACAAAGTAAGTGCACAGCAGACACCTCCCCAGCTCCCCCATTTTGTCTCCTTGCACAACCCTATAAAGAGATTTCTTTTTTTACACACTGCCTTTCCCTTTTGGAACTTCTATTTTCATGGTTTTATTAGGGGAGGGACTGATCAGAAACAAGAGCATGACTCCACACCTTTACACAGCAGTCCTTGCTGAATGTAGTGGTTGCTGTTAGGTCACAATGCAGGTGACAGAAAAATGACACTTCCCTCTTGAATAATTAGTGGATATTGCAGGCAGAAATTAACTTCATGGAATGTGAATTCTCAAAAAGAAGGAATTCAGTAATTTTTATTGCAAAGACAGGTAAAATATCTGGAAAAGAAGCTGAGGGGAAACCTCACTGCTCTCTACAACTTCCTGAAAGGAGGCTGTAGCCAGGTGGGGGTTGGTCTCTTCTCCCAAGTAACAAACAATACAAGAGGAAATGGCCTCAAGTTGTGCCAGGAGAGGTTTAGTTTGGGTATTAGGGAACATTTCTCCATGGAAAGGTTTGTCAAGCCCTGGAGGCCCCATCCTGGAGGTATTTAAAAGGCATGTGGATGTGGAATTTTAGGGACATGGTTTAATGGTGGGCTTGGCAGTGCTGGGTTAATTGTTGGACTCATGATCTTAGAGGTCTTTTCTAACCTAAATGATTCTGTGGCCATGCAAGAGGACCTAGAGAGGTGAAGCATGGAATTGATTTATAATCTTGTGTTTCAGCCAACACAGATTAGAACATGCTTTTTTTTTCCCCACACCAACAGAATGTGTTTATGGCTAATCCCCTGAAATAAGGGGAAGAATTTAGGATGGTGAATTCTTTATGTCAGAATTAAGCTTCTGCAAACATAACATACAACCTGTTGATAGAAATATTTTGCAAGAGCAAAGCATACCCTAGAGACTTCCTGAAGCAAAGAGATCCCTTTTGCAAAGCAGGATCCACAATTTCACAGTTCTAGGAAATTCACAAATACACCAGCTCATCTATGACTGCTTCCATTTGGGAGAGCTGGGAGTGAGAAGCTGTTTATGCAAAAGTTTACTCTGCATATAAAATTGTAATTCTTACTCTTGGTCGTACTGTGTCCTCTCTGAACATGTTTTAGGCATTCTGTGATTCTTTTAGGCATTCTATGATGCTTCCGTGAGAAAACTCTGCCATGAATAATATGCCCTCAGCTGCTAAGATCTCCCATTTATGCTGGCATGTCTTACATGAAAAGTCATTCAGCAGCTCAATAATCAAGATTATTTGGACTTGCAGATGGAAAGAAGCAAAATGAAAAGAACCATTAGAAACAATGGAGGTGGGTTTAGTAAATGCAGTAACTGGCAGGCCAGAGAACAGAGTGGGGCTACACAGGAACACACAGCATAAGGAAGGAGGCAGGTCCACAAAGACAGGCGTTTGCACAAGTCTATTTTTTTGATCCCACAAATGAAAAAAGACAGCCTGAACATAAACATATTGAAGTCCTCAAGACTCTTCTTCACACTTGTAGTACCTATTTGCTTTGGTGAGCACTCAGCCTTGCTCCTTTGGCACACCAGACATACCTAATCCTGGCTGAATCCACAGGAAAAGCTGGCAGGAAGTCCACAACAGACTTTTTCTCTGGTGCACCCTCACTGCTTAATCAAGCTCCATCTTCAGAGGCATAGATGTGGCTCTTCAAGCAACAAGCAAACATTTTTCAAACATCTGTTCCACTGTTGCCATTCCTGAACTCTGACCCTTGTGATCAGGTACATAATCCTGGCCTTGACTGGTATACACACACTGCATTTGCCTGTTGGATATTTGACTCCTTGCAAATTGAGGATTTTGTTTTCCAAATCATTATAGTACTATCAGCATTATCTGAACCAGATACTCCTCCACTCATATGCTTGCCAGATCAGATGATACTCATTTAATTTTATTTCAAGTACACACAGCATTTGTTTTAACAGCTTGACATGGATACCTTTCAGTACACGTGTGCATTTCTGCTCTGCACAACTTTGTCAGAAGTAGCCGGTGTGCTGGGCTGTGCAGTGAGGAAGATGTTCTGTGATGGTCCCTTGTAAGGACACTACCTTGATAATCCAACACAATAGAGAGAAAGCACACACAGTTTCACAATTATTTCCTTAATATACAAACAGGGTTGTCTTACTGTGACAACTTGGTGTGAGTGGCAGCTGGGAAACCCCTGCATCCAGTAATACTCAGAAACAGTCAGCCATTAGTAGTAGCTGGAAAATTATCTCCTACACCTCAGGCAAAGGTAAATGGACTAAGTCTCTGCCAACAGGGAAGTCCCAGAATTAGAAGAAACAAAGGAAAACAAGGCCTCAAAAAGATAGTGGAAAAGGGAGAATGGCTTCACATTGGGCTCAGTCTCTAGGCTCTAATGGTCCAATTGCCTCTAAAATCCAAACAGCTATGGATTACTGCACAAGCACTTGGTAAGAAAACATGGAAAACCAAACCAAATTGTGATGGATACCTGCTTCTCCTCGAAGGGCCTTCTCCACAGCAACTCCTCTCTCCTCGAGTTGCCTCTGCTTCTCTTCCACTTGTTCCAGCTGCCTCTGGATAATCTGTTCAGAGAAGAATGGAGCTGAGCCTCACCAAAGCAATTCTCTTGCTTTGTCTGCAGCACACATCCAGCACTAAGAGACTTCTGTCAGATTTGCCTTTTCAAAAACAAGACTTTGTATTCAACAACACCCTGTTTCAACAGCAAGCATCACAGATTCCAGTGTGCGTATCTCACAGGGTTGAGATATAACCCTGTTGTATCTCAACTCTTAAATTTGCAAACATCTTGATATTCATTTATTTGCTACAACTCCTATCACCTTTCTGAACAATGAACTGAAAGGTGATGCTACTCAGTCAGCTGAGCCCCTGCCTTGACATATCCCATCACTCGTAGATGATGTTAACAGTTTTCCAGCAGACTCACTGTCTGTAATTAAAGGTAATTAAAGGGTAATTTGATAACACATTACCCACCAGCACAACCTAGCAAAGTAATGACAGGAGCAGGCATTATCTGAGTATCACTGTTCCATTCAGTGCATGATGGTTCATCATCTCCAGGTAGAAAGGAGTTATGGGCATGATTTTTCTCACTGTAAAACTCTCGTGATAGGTTTCAGCCACCCTTCACTTCTCTGTGGCATGGCATGAAAGTTGAAAGAGGGAGCCAGGAGCACCCATGTAGAAAGAGAGGATTCTGTTCTGATACAGCCACAGGAATGTCAGGATCAGGGTGCTTTCATACAGAGCTAGCTGTGTGCCATGACAAGAGGCTTGTGAGACACTACCTGAGCTCTGTGTAACCTCTTTAGCTCCTCTTGCTTGGCTTGTCTGCGGGCAGCTTTCTGTACTCGCCGCGTCAGCTTGGCATTCAGCTCCTCCTCTGTGTAGGCCCTCTGAAGGAAGGAAAAACAGCAACAGATCTTATTTACATGCTGAGAAATGACACAGGGGCAGGGATGACCATTTCCTCTTCCAAAAATCTCAGAAGGGAGGTGTTCTGTCTTTGCCATGGCTGTGTCAAAAGTCAAGCTTCTGTAGGCAAAGGTGTTCACAGTGCAGTGAGCAACAATTTCAGGATCAAATCAGGAGTGAAGAAGCATTTAAGCCAGCTGCAAAGCTGTGATTTTATATGATATCCCACCCCTGCCTTCCACTGCTATATGAAACCTCTTCCCAAAGATCAAACCAGTTTTTATTGTCAGTAATTTCCATTTGTCAATAAATTTAGCCAAATGGATTTAGATAAATCAGTGAGTGCCCACCAGAGGGTTCATCTTGATAGGGGTCCCCTTGATTTCATTTAAAGAGGATAAAGGCTTGTCTACATAACAGTTACAGCAGTGTAAACTAAGAAATTATTATAGACTAATGTAGAATATTGCACCACCAGAAGCCATCCAAAAGGGAAAAAGCTATGCTTATAGAAATAGAAGGGTATTTCCTCTTCTGTCAGTGGAACTAGTTTTTTAAGACTGTCTTTTTAACACTACTGAAATTTGATTTAGGATCTTACCAAATACATCAATTGGATATATTGTAGCCTAGAAAGGCTTTCTCTCAAAGAGTTTTAAGAGTGTCAAAAAACACTTGACAACTGCACTGAGTAAACTACAATGAAGAAAAAGCCTCTTTTCTCATGTACATGCAGGTAAAGCCTTAAGGGACTGATGTAAACATGTGTCTTCCACTTCTGGAAAGAGATCTCCTCCATGGACAGTCAACTTCAAGAACAGAATGTTATGTCAGATCACCCTAAAATTTGCTTGGTCTAGTTATTGTACTGCCACATTAGTCAGTCTACCTCTGTTGATGGTTCTCAGTGAACAGAGTTTAAGGGAGGATCACAGCTTAATTAAAAATCCCTTGGGTAGGTCATTGGCAAGCACCACTGTTAAAGCTTCAAAAAGCTCACACTTTACTCTTTCTTTTTTCAAAACACAATGGTACTCAGATTAGAAGGTAAAGTGACAGAGCACATGACCTTTCTGTCTGGTGTAACACTGTTGTGACTGCAAAGACAAGACAATAAGAATTTCAGAAAGCAGCAGCTTCTGCTTTGATTTCAGCTTGATACAGAATTTCACTAACATTTGAGGCAACTCAGCAATTTTGACAGCTGCTGATTCAAGTGTGATGATTCATTTGAACTCCCATTGGAAATATTAAAAAAGAAGAATATGCAAACATATTTAAGTGCCTTGAAAACCAATTTGTTCTGAAGCACACAGACCATCCACATCACCGTACAGCGGCGCACTGATGAACGCATGCATTCCGACCAGACATTTCGGAGCTTAATGCATTTTTGGGAGACATCCTCTACAAAGAATTTGCTGCCCATGTCTGCTAACATCTCAGGCATGCACAGTCAGTGTTGATGTTAGTGCACACGTGGTGCAGAGCTATGGGTTCAATGGGTTAATGTAGAGGGGGACATGCAATGCAACAATGGCCAACTAGTGGGAATGGAGACGCTACCTTTGACGAGTATGATCTCTTGAATGCCAAGGCGTGTGGTACATAGATCGACTTTAAAAGGGGAATGGTAAAGGGAGGAAAATAAAAAAAAAACAAAAACAAAAACGCACAAAATGAAGCAAAATCAGTTCAACATTGAAAACAGGTGCACAGTAATAAAACAAAGTGGTTTTTACATGAAATGAAATTGTGCAAATGCTGAACGTGACCCGGACTGATGAAGCACAATGGAACTTCTGGTCACAAAATCAAGTTTCTAGCACTTTCCTGAAGGCAATTAGTTTTGGCAGCCTCCTTGAAGATACAGTCACCTTGGAAATACCTTTTTCTAGAGAAATTATTTGGCCTTTGTCTACCTGTATGAGTATGAAATTCTGGCTTAGGATTTGGAATAATGGCTTATTTCTGGAACATATTTGGTTTGAACTGGCTCGGCCAACCATCCATTACCTTGTCACATAACTCTCCATTTATATTCTGATTTACAGTCTCTCTTAGGAGTTGTGCTTATTCTATAGTTTTAAATTACCTCTATTTCATAGACATTATAATTGACATTTAACCAACATCATAAATCATATTCACTGCTTCATGAAATAAGAAGCAGCAGATGGGCTCAGAGTGGGTTATGAGTCCTGCAGCAATGGAACCTCCTTGTCTAAAAAGAGAGCCTCCAAAGAGCTTGAGGAGCTAAAATTGGAGGGGGAAAGGAGCAGGAAAAGGAGGGGGAAATCACTACTTAGCCAAGGACATTCTATGCTACCCTGTACCCAAATATAAGGCAAGTAAAGCACTTGGCTTTATTTGCTAAGGAGAGAGGTAAATTTCTCTTTGTGTCATGAAGTCCAGAAGAAGGCATTGTGCCACTCTGGGCAAACAGACAGCATTTTGCACTCTCACATTCAATTAACTAAGTCACAAATGAGAAGCCAGAGAACAGCACCAGCATGTCTGCAGGCTCCAGGAAAAAGCAAGCTACCTGTGGTGGTGAACACCTGAGCACAACACCACAACTGCACAGGAACAATGACAAACACACACATGGTGACAATACACCTACAAACACAACACCCACGTTAGGAAGTCTTGACAAGATGCTTCTCTTGAAAGACACCACATTAAACAAGACTGAATTAACTCACTGCTGGTCACAAAGAACAGGCTGAACAGAGCAGGCTGTCTGGGAAGCAAGCTCACTACATTACCAAAAAAGCAGCATGAACAGGATTTCAGTTTGAAGAAGGGGTTCACATAAAAGTTAAGTAGCACACAGTAAGTCAGCTCTTACCCATATAAAGTAGCAGGCAGGTTATAACTTAAAAAATACAACTCCCACCCCAAACCAGTACAAACCCAACTTGGTCAGACTCAAAATTTGGTTACATTTCTTTTGACAAGAAGGCATTTCAGTGTTTGCATGTATATTCTACATCCTTGGATAGGATATAACAAAATGAGGTAAGTCAAGTTTTCAGATCCATATCCTCTAAAAAAATACATTCTCAAAACTATTCTTAAGAAAACAGGCAGATGCTGAGGAAATAAATTCTTAATGTAACTCCAGCAACAGCAAATGAGTGAAAAGGAGACACTGCCACCACACCCTTGGCAGAGCTTGTGAGATCTTTTCAGTAGGAGGATCCCAGGCATCTGCCACTGTCATCCCCTCCTGTGCTTAGAGATGTGAACTTTCTTTCTGCAAAAGCCATTTTAAATCTAAGTGGCCCAGTATAGAAAAAAATGACCATCAAGGCAGACCAAAAACTCTGTAACTCTTATCTGAACCCCAGGTATTGGGTATCTGTCCTCTGCTGGCCCCAGGTACCTCATTCTTCTGCATCTCTTGGAAAATGCAGAATTTCTCATGAAACGCCTTGAGGGCATGCAAGGGGGAATGGAAGGGGGAGAGAAAAAAGGGAAGAAAATAAAAACAAAATAATCTTCCTCTCAGATGAGATCTAGACCAACTAGGGAAAGAGATTAAAAGAGAGATAAGTAAATACAGAAAATTCCTGTTTAGTTCATCAATTTCTTCCACCAACCTTAAATTCATTCATTAGCTATTCTAGTTCATTCTAACATAAATACTTTGAAAGCATTTCATATGACACTTCAATTTGCAGTATTTCCATGCCTTTGCCATCTCAGCCAAGGATCAGCTTGGCATCTGAGACTGATTTGTGCACATGGGATGACAGGTTTGAGACAGGAAGCACAGGTGACTGTGCCTGTGACATTTCCCTCCCAGAGGCTCTTTTCTTCTTGGGCTTTTTTATCACATGTACCAGGCACCACCAGGGAAGAACAGTGGGAACACAGTTTTCATTTTGGTGTACCAAAAGAACCTTAGTGTTCTGTGGGGTCAGTAAAATCTCTACATATTCCTCCAAACCTTGCCAGTTCTGTCGAGCAGAGCTTAGAGGCTCTGAGGAATGAAAGCAGGATTCTTCATTACTAATATCAAACAGATCCTTAAATTATTCTCTTGTTTTGGCATTAACAGTGACATTCTAAAATTGAACCAAATAGTTTAAAAACAACTGGCTTTGAAACTTTGCTTTCACCATACATTTTCCACATTTAAATGTGTGCAATTAAACTAAATCCTTATACTAAATCTCAAGGTCAGTAGGGAGGTGCACAGCAAGCTCCCTACCCTGGACTTCAGGAGAGCAGACTTTGGCTTCTTCATGGATCTGCTTAGTAGAGTGTCATGGGATAAAGCCCTGGAGAGAGGAGGGGACCAGGAAAGCTGGTTAAAACTCAAGGATTGCCTCCTCCAACCTCCAAAGCAATGCATCCTAACAGAGAAGTCAGGCAAAAATGCTGCGTGGGTGAACAAGGGATAAACTCAAATAGAGAAGGAAGTCTACAGAGGGTGGAAGTAAGGGCAGGTAGCCTGGGAGGAATACAGAGAAATTCTCCAAGCAGCCAGGGATCAGGTTAGGAGAGATAAGGCCCTGACAGAAAAAATCTGCCCAGGGACATCAATGGCAACAAGGAAAACTTCTATAGGTATGTCAGTGATAAAGAAAAACTAGGGAAAACGTGGGCCCTCTCCAAAAGGAATCTGGAAACCTGGTTATCCAGGATATGGAAAAAGCTGAGGTACTCTAACTTTGCCCTGATTTTCACCAGCAAGTGGCTCCAGCCACAGCATCCCAGTTACAGAAGGGCTTGGGAGAATGAACTGCCCGTGTAGGAGAAAGTCACCTTTGAAAACATCTAAGGCACCTACAGGTGCACAAGCCCTGAGGGAATTGGCAGAGAAAGGGCCTGAGCCACTGCCCATCATATTAAAAAACCTGAGTCAGCTGGTGGAGTTCCCACTGACTAGAAAAGGGGAAACAAAATCCCATTTTTAAACAGGGGAAAAAGGAATACCCAGGAGCCTACAGGCCAGTCCGTCTCCTCTTAGTGCCCAGTAAAGTAATGGGCACTGAGACAATGGATTCTTCACATAAAAACAGTGGAGAGTAGCCTGTAATCATGAAAACAAGTGAAACCATCTTATTTTAGATAGGATAGTCAGCCAAGTCACAGGGAAACCTGCTCCATGGGAGAAAGAGTAAAAACAACAACATTAATCAGCTAAGTTTCGGATGTGAGTCCCTGAGTCTGTGATCTGAATGGTGCTAGATCCATCTAAAATGCATTTCCCACCTACATACCTCTCGTTTGGATTTCTGGGAGGAGCGTTCCAGAATATCATAAAGTTGGGAACAGGAAGGGGAAGTTAGAGAAGTGGTAACAATTCTTTCTGTACACTCTTCAGAGCTCAGCTGTAGGTTGTTTGATTGAGCACCAAAACTATTCAGTCCTTTATGTTGTGCTGCTTTGGAGGAATCAAAGAAACCCTGCTCCACGAAATGACCAGCATGAGTTTGAGCTGTTCTAAGAGAGCACCCCTTTTTTCAAATGCTGTTAGAAATAATACTCATGGCTCTCTTTTTGTGCAGTATCAATGCTCTTAGGATAGATACAACATTTGGAATGACAGCAGCTGGCTCTGTTTTGGCTGTTTGTACAATGCCAGAGAAATGTTAACAGTTTTCAATTGTATTTATGGGCAACTTATTTACTGCATCCCGAGCTGCCATTAAACATCTCTGCCTGCAACTGGTGAGCATGTGAATGATTTACAGGAGGCTGCCAAGTCCTTCCTTCAGAGATCAGCAGACAGCCACCAGATTACTGAGAACAGGAATAACAGCATCTCTGCAGTCTTCAGCTTCCACGGAGCCAGGTGGAAAGAAAGAAAAGAGATCAGCCGAAGAAAACATGAAGATCAGATGTAAAGTAGGGATGAAATGTCACAAATTCCAACAAACAATGCTTTTTTCTCAAATCTAAGACATAAAACAGATGTGCCTTGTATATATTGACAGTTAAGCTTTTAGTTAGGGTTCCATTTTTTTTCTTTTCCCAGTGGATTCTGTCAGTATGCAGACACACAAATCTAGTCCCTAACACTTACCCCACTCTGCCCCTCTGACACTGGGGAGCAGCAGCTGAATGACAAAGCAAACCAAAACTACTTTCAAGGATACCTCAGAAAAGTAGAAGTGCACAGTGCAGAAGCAGTTATCTGTTATACCTGCAGCTGTAATCAGTGGAGAGGGTTTGTGCTTGCCAGAATCCACGGTGGCATTACTTGAGGGAGTACTTGGGCAGGATTTCTCATCAGCCTTTTTCTTCTTGTCTTTCTTATAGCCAGAGAAAACAGACTTCCATAACGACCTCGGCTTTGTTGCTTCCTCTGTCCCACCACTAGATTTGTCAGAAAGCCTGCTATCATTTTTGGACTTCTTCTCCTTTTTGTTCTTACGAGGGGAGAAGAGGGAACTTCTTTTCTTACTCTTCCCACTGGAGCCTTCTGAAGAGCTGACAGACCCTTCAGGCCCAGCCATATCAGCAGGAGGAGTGGAGTACTTCTCAGTAGCAGAATTATGTTTTCGTGCGGATCCCTCGGCTAATTTCAAGGCCAAATGCTTTGGAGAGTCATAAAACAACTCTTTGGTCTTCAAGGGCATAGAAGATGCCTTTCGTGCCCTCGTGGCCCCAGTAGCAGCAGCCATCTCCATATCTTTCATCTTACACAAGTGTTTAGCCATGGCATCACGTAGAGCTGGGCTTTTGACAGATTTCTCTCTGGCTCTCATTCTTTCTTCAGCAAGCTCCTTGGCCTCCACAGAAATGTCAGGGAACACTCTCTTCTTTTGGTGAAGCCCTCCTTCCATTGAGGGTGGACCACCATTTTCTTTGACCAAGGGCAAAAGATGTGGTTTCTCTGGTCTTGGCCTACTGGTGGGAGGTGTAAAGAACTTCTCGTGAAGGCTTGAGTCCTCTGTCCTGTCGTCGTACGTGTCTTCCACATCATCGGCAAACGGAATTTCATCCACGCTCTCCGCGAACGACTTCCGCACGTCTTCTCTCCTGGCCGGGGGGGACTCCTTGGCAGGAGGGGCCGGCTCCTGGTGTCGGAGGACAGGAGGTGTTGATGCTGGCGTTGGAGGTGATCTGGCTTCAACCTCGTTCTGCCAGAGCGCCTGGTACCTCTTCCTACGCAGCGTGGCCGGCTCCTCGTTCTGAGGAGGCGGTGGGGGCGGGCTCGATGGAGGAGTCAGCATGGTGGAGTCAGAGGTGTTGAAGCTCTGGCTAGCCATAGTTCTCATGTTAGATGAGCTCTCCTGAAGGCCAAGCCCAGAGCTGCTGGATACATCTCCCCGTGCTTCAGTGGAAATCTTTAGCTCTCTTTCTGATGGGGACTTCGGAGTGAGCAGAGAAATCTGCTCATTTTCTAACTTGGATAGTCCCTGTCTTCTTGGGGCAGGCTGGGGTTTCACAGGATGGATCCTTTCATCCCCTGAAATATTCCTGCTATTGAAAGTCTTCTGAGGAGTTGTCTCCAGAGCAGACACAGTGAAGTTGCTCTCTGAGCGTTTGTTTCTGTCCACGGGGGTGAGCCCTAAGCTCCTCCGGATTTCAGCGCTCTTCATCCAGAACTCTTCCACGAGGCTGCTCCGTTTCAGGGCTTCTTCTGCAGTAGTAGGGCTCCCCAGTTTTTCCACCTCACCATCCTGGCCCCTAAGGGCCAATTTGGCTAAAGGAGTAGATGTTAAGGCTGGGACGGGTTGGAAACATACTGGAGGCTCCACTGGGGATGGAATGGATGTTTCAGCAGAAGGCAAAGGCTGGGAACAAATAGGCATTTGAGCAGATGCTGGGGATGAGGGCAGTGCTGGTGCTCCTGGCTGAGACTCTGCTAGTGATGAGGGTGCAATGGCTTCTGGTGATGCCACTGGCTGGGACAACACTGGAGATGGTGGCACCAAAGGGCTCTGAACTTTCCTGTCTTTGGGAATTTCATCCTTTGGTCTTTCCTCAAGAATGAAAGGCTCAGGAAAAAAGCGTGGCTCTGGGGATTTTATTGCACGGCGTACTTCAGCCAGGGGATCTTCTACATCCTACAGAAAAATGAAAAGGGGGAAAATTAATAATCACTGGGCACAAGAGAATATGATTTTTTTTTTTTTGCTTTTAACAGAGCTAGAGATAAGGAAACTATCCAAGTATCAAAATATTAATTTAATGTCCTAAAGTCTGCCTGCTAAACAACAACTATGTTTGATAGTATCATTAGATGGCCAGCAAAAAAACAAACTTTATTTTAATAGAAAGAGAATGCTGTCAGCAACTGCTGTCAGCAAACAAGACTCGACCCACTGTAAACTGCTCTGTTCTCTCCAAGACAATATTTTAACAATTCCTTAAAAAAAAAACAAAAACAAAAAACAACCAACTGAAACATTTGGAAGGGAAAATTTGAATTGAACATTTTAAGGGTCATGAACTTCCAGCTCTTACACACTGCATACACCTGCAAGCTGCCTCCCAGGGCTGACAACACGACAGTACAACACTGGCATGCCTCACTTCCTTAAGCTGAGCTGTGCTGAGCTCTGGAACAAAGAGACCCTGCTTTGGTTACCACTGTAATTTTTAATTGCAACTGTACAGAATCTGCTTTTGGCACATAAAAGACAGCCAGACCAGGCTAAACAGGAAACATCTTACTTATGGCTCCCCACATTTATCACATATATCTGTTGTTAACTGCTCACTGAAATTAAAATACCCTGTGTAATTCAGCAGGGGCTTTGTTATGGGAACTTGTATGGCTGTGATAGAGCCACTAAACTCTGAAGACAGGAAAGAAAGAGAGTATACATTATATTTTAAGCCTAAATTAAGTCAAATTTCAAGATCAGCATAAATATTAGAGACAGGAAAGAAGGAGAGCCTACTGCTGTCAGTCCTCATTAGTTTATCCAACAAATTGTTTTATTGAACTGCAAGTGCTAAGTAGAAAATAAGAGTCCCTTTCTTACCTCTGCTTGTTTTGCTTTGGGACTAGCAGCTGGAGACAGGGGGAGAACACTGTCACTAGAGGGCTGGATAGGGATGGATGGCTTGCATGGATCTAGGGAAAGGAAAAATGTTCCAAAAATACATAAACCATTAATATTCTACCCTTTTTTTAAAGTTACACACAGCAATTTCTCAGCTTTTTACAAATTTTAGATTGAACATCTAGAACACAAAAAAAAATTTTAAATGTCAATAATGGTACAGACTTTTTAATGTAATGACTTTTACAAGAACAAGCAGTTAGAAGAGTTCTCACATTTTACAAAGCTCTGTTTAATGGATTCAGAACATTCTTCTCAAAATGTTAGTGCAAGGGCAGACCTTGCCAGTGAGAGTAGTGAGATGGTTCAAATCCAAGAGACTCTCTTCTAAATCCCACAACTGTATAGACTATCTCAAATGCAATTAACATCAGCCAAGCACTGAAGAGAGAGTGATTACCTTCTGTCACACTGCTAGAAGCACCTTCTGCTTCTTCTTCTTCATCTTCTTCATCCTCAGAGACTTTTAGTTCTGGCCTTTCTACACCACCCTGGCGTAAGCGAAACTCCGCTTCTGCATCAGATGCGATGTCGTCTGATCATGGATGGAGAAAACCAAGAGAACTTGGATACAAGCCCATCAGGACATACTACTTTCTATTCACATGGTGCTAACCACTTCCATAACCTGAACACTTAAATGTTCACTCCTTTTTTTGGTGTGATAATTAGTCATTTAAGCAGTAAATGTAAGCAGTAAATGATTGGACTGTTAGTACAAAGAGTTAAATCAGTAACTGAAGTCCTGCCTTATGAGATCTCGGGAAAATCTTCAACATTTTCTGCCATATGCAGTTAATTTTACAATAGCAAGGGAAGGATTCTGACATAGTATTATGGAACTTTCACAAATTTAATTCTATTTCTGTTATGCATCAGGATCAGTATTGAATACAGACACAAGACACGTGGTGAGAGGACGTGACAAATTCATTACATAATCCAGGACACTGAGGTTCTTCTCTTTCTTTTTGACCCTCACTCCTGGCTCCCTCTCGAAACAAACTCCCACACCTCTAAAAACAAGACCAGGTTTAAGTACCCTCATGCAAAGTGTTCATTGCCAACACATTCTGTTCACACAACAGGTTTAAAGGCTGCACAGTGGTAGCCTACCATCGTCCAGCTCTGCACCCGTGTCTCCCTCTTCACCTGCCTGCCCTTCTGTGTCTGCAGGCTCTGTGCCCAGCTCATCCTCCACATCCTCCTCCTCACATGGAGCTAGAATATATTCAGATATTGAGGAAAAAAAAAGAAAAGAAAACAAACACTACACAGTGAAAAAGTTCTGTATTTGAACTGTACCGACGGTTTATACTGGAGATGTTTATCAGTTACTGTCAAAAGAGGAAATCCTGAAATGTGTCACCTGGAGAGACATCTATGGTGAAGTGACACTTCCAGACTCCAGCGAAACAAGGAATGCCTGCCCTTGGGGAGCCTCCAAGGCTCTTGCAGTCAAAGCTGCCAGGGCTTTTCTGAGCAACAGGTGTGAAAAATTAAACGAGAAGGGGACTGGGAAGACATCAAACCAGAACAAAGGTTACTGTTCTTCCAGGAAGATTTTGGTTTCTTCTTCACCACAACAGAATAGTTACCACCACTTGATAGAATATGAGTATTAGGTCAAAACTGAAACTTCACAATTAACCAGGACTGTTCATCTTGAAATTGAAACTGGTTTTGAGGGTGTAAGTCAAAGAGAGAGTTTAGTTATGGGATTGACCATTGTGACACTTGGAAACTGTTTAACTCTGTGCAGCTACAGCAGTCTTTGGTAAGGTTTAAGAAAATGCATATGCTGTACAAGTGACTAGTGCACAAATTGAGATACTTTACAGTAATTAAAATGCCATATATAAAACTATTTTTCTATTACAGATCATTAATTGAGACACTTTTAAGTAATTCAAATTACATATTCAAACTTTTTTTTTTTTTTTTTTTCATTTACAGATCACAATTTGATTTGCTGGGTCAAAATAAAGAAAAGATTCTTGAATTTGTAACTCTGGAAACTATGACATCTGACACTACTTCTTTTGACAGGATTTAATTACAGGAGGAGAGACAAGACCAAAGTGTGGAGTATAAATCTCATTATTAAATGATACTTTAAAAAAAACCAACCTATACAGGGGATAATTTGTTGCTTTTTTTTTTTGTTAAACATTTCCACTAAATATAATTTAAATATTAAAAAAAAAAAATAAAAATGAGCACTTCCAGTTCTTGATCCTTTTTATTTACTAGTGACAACATGGCTTTTGGAACTATTTATATTGTTGCATTGCTAATTAAGACAATTTTGAAAACAAACTAACCCTCTTTAAAACTGAGGTCTTGCAGCCTCTCCTTTAATACAGGTTTTTGCTTATTTCAAAAGACAGCCTTCAGCAGGGGGTCTCAACCTGAGAATTTCCTTTTTTCTGTGCTCTGTGGTTTTATTCAGACAGACAAATGCATGGATTAGTTTATTTTCTGTCAGCTCCTGTGAAGAGGCAGTTCCACACATGTGTGATATTCCTATTCCTCTACATCAGAGGATTATCAAATCCACACCCTCACCAGTGCTAAGCACAGGAAAACTGAATCATGTGGCAAAGGCTGGACTGCCCACAGGAGCATTTATAAATCTACTCAACAAAACCAAACCACGTCCCAGTCTGATTGTTGCTTAGGTATGCAATAGCTTATGTTATTTTGGAAATGATAATGTCATGGAATGGCTTCATGGTAACAGCAAATGTGAGTAATCTTAATTAGAACTTGCAAAAAACATGAGTGATGTTAAGAATATCTGAATCCACCATGTATGTGTGAGTCTTCAGATCCAGAAACCATGAACGGACGTGACACACACAGATTGTGTTGGAGAGAGAGGAGAAAATCGGGTTTTAAATGGGTTGGTACAAAAAACTCAAGGGAAGATTACAAATGCATCGATAAGTAACAACTTGGTGCAAGGGTGGATCCCATTCTGAGGGACACAGGAAGCTTGCAGGTGGCTGGTTATATGGCACATATACTGTGCATATACAGATATGCAGTTAGGATAAGGAGCAAGAGGCCAAAAGCTGTCACACAATAACTCAGAAATTACACACTAGGGCAGCCAGAAACTGGGATCAGCACTTGGTTGGTATTAGCTGGCAGCTGTGAGCAGCCTGCATCGTGTGCAGACACCTTGTAAACACTGCTGACTTGCCAAAGCAGCAGCAGAAGCAAAGTTTTCAAGGCAAGCTGGCTATTCTGATGTGCCAAAGCAACTCAGCTGTAGGTCAACTAACTAGCATGGACTGCTCCACTAATTTAGACACCTTCACAGCTTTACACAATGTACTCCCTCACTGACATCCCAGAATCTTCAGGCTCATCAGTTTGTAATAGAGCTTAGAGGACCACACAAAAAAAAATCAGCTGAGCTCTACCATCCTTCAACTTTCCTGAGTAACGTGAATGCCAGGTCAAAAGAGATACAACAACCAGCACTATTCCTAGAGATCCTAGCTTTGACTTATTCTGCTTTCCTGTTTTCTTCACCACATAACTACAGTTTGCAGTTGCTACAGAGAAATGCAATTTATTTAAGTGCTCTCTGCCACTTAACCTTTCAACTGCAAGAAAGCCCCACGCTCTTTTAGTCTAAAGGCTGGGGGAAGAAGAACTGGCCCCATCTTCAGTTTGGCAAAGCAAATGGAAGCGCTCAGCTGGATCCCTCCTCTGTCCCTGCAGCCAGGATGAGCTGTCCTGGGCCTGCCTTCGGGGGTTACGATGAGTGTGGAGTTCATGCGAGAAGGAAGGGGCTGCCTGAGCAAGGCTGGCATGCACGCTCCCCGTCCCCCCCTCCAGTCCACTCATGCAGCAGCGACAGGGCCGTAAGTTCCAGGGTTAAAGTAGCAGCTCAGCTGCTGAAGGGTTATTGTGCATTGGAATACATAGAACATCACCAAACTACCTCCAGGGACCGTCTCCAGCCACGCCTGTACCGCCTCATGGCGTACGGAGGGAAGGTCGGATGCTGAATTTAAAAAACAATAAATTGTAAGAAGGCAAAATTAGACCATCAGTCAGAGTCTAAAACAGAAGAGTGACAGAGGGAAACTTTTCAGCAGCAAATACAGGAATAAAACCTATGAAATTTCAAACAACCGATTCCAGGCTTGAGAATTAAAGAGAGATAACACACAAATGTCAGGGGCCTAATCTGCCTTTGGGATCTGTAATGTTAGAGGAAATATGTGTGGCACAGTGAGAAGAACGGCACATCTGACCAGCAGGCTGCTGCTCCCCTTGGAACTCTGCAAAGGAGGGAAACAGAGAAGGAAGAGCTAAGCAATGGGAGAGGGGTCCCAGGGTCCCAGAACCTGCACTGCCCAGCAGATGAAGAAGAGCTCCCAAAGCAGAATGAGAGGGACTTCTGGCAACTGTGACACTGCCCCAGGCTGTCACATTGAACCTTGTCACTGCTGCTGCCAGTGGGCTCTCCAAACACCTCAGATCACACAATACAGCTCCTCAGCCAGGAACAATCTACTGAACTTACAGCCTGTCCACAAACAGCCTTTTAAATACCCAAACTGCTGATAATACCTGCACACGCCTCTACCATATGATAAAACAACAGAAGCAGGTAATCATAAATTGGGATAGTCCTACCTTGGCCCAATTTCAGAAAGAAAATTTCAGAGGACAGAAAGGAAATACTGACTCCCTTCCCACAGGAATTTGGAAAGATCATGAAATCAATTTTGGAAAGATCACTTATTGCTGACAACTGTAACAGTACTCCATAAAAAGTACTCCAGGAAAGTAAGAATTATAAAACACAAATTAAAATAAAAATTTGGATACTAGAGTGATGCAGACCCCAAGCACTTAACTGCTGTAAACTTAAGAAACTGTGTTAACATTTTTTTCTTAGTGCTTTTTAAACATTAAACACTCTAGCAATACTGAAAGTTACAGACAGTTGAACACAGCCAATTTCTGCGGCTGCAGTGGGAACAAAATACCCATCTCTTATTTGTTGGGAGCTGATTTCACACCAGAAAATCCCAGTGCATTCTACAAACTGCAAATGTAAGTACAGAAAGACAGCTTCTCACAGGAGATTTGCTCCCTCTACAACCCTGTCACTGTGGTTGCAGACTGAGAGAAGACCACTGCTCACCCCCTGCAGGGTGAACTTTGATTTAAGCCCACAAATAAAGCACTTATGACATACTTACCTTCGGACACTCTGTAACATAGCCTAGAACAAGGGCAGCAGGGACTCATATGAGATCTAAACCACCAGCATTTTCCCCCTCCAAAGTTTTGCTTTGTGTAATTGGTAACCTGCACATTAGAGGTAGATATACTCTCGAATCTTAAACACAGGGAGTCAAACCCTGCACTGATCAGATTTGCCCTTTGACTCAGATCATCCCCTGCTAATACCAGATGCAGTTGCACACTTGGAAAAGAAGCAGCACAGAAAAATGCTCTATACAGAAGCTGAATCTGCTCAATCTGTGCTCTTGTAGCTACACAACACAGCCCCTGACCTTTCCCTACAAAGTGTAGAGCCACAAAAAGCACGAGACTACCACTATCAGCATCCCTAGCCAGTTACAGAGGGCTGATTGCCAGCACTACCAAATCATATGTGGTGAGGAAAAATGCTATGGAGTCAAAGCAGGCAGACAAAGAGGTCAGAAGTCACACTGTCACGGAGCTGAGAAAGCAGCGACTTTAAACAGACACTGACCTGAAAAGCAAAACATTTAACCAAGTGTAATTTCAGTGCAATTTGAGAGCAGTTCCTTTCAATCACTGCTGCCCCTGCTGAAGTCACTGCTCTTGAAGGGCGCAGAAGCAACAGAGTTAAACAGCTGCAACTGTGATCCAAGAACCGATGGTGTGGGGCTTGGGGGAGATTACCTCTGGAGGTGGAGGACTTTGAGGCTGAGACCATTTTTTCCTCCTCCTCTCTCTCACGGATGTGTGTCCAGTGCACATCTGCCAGGATCTCCAGAGGATCCACCGGATTTACAATCTGCTGCAGCCTAAGGTTTCCAGCTAGCAGGAGGAGGGCACGGCATAACAGGTTGTAGGCAGGGTGTATGAAGGGCAGGGAGGAAAAGATGGGAAAACAGTGGAAAGGAAAGGTAGCACATCATAGGAAAGGAAATAAGAAAAGAAAATATTATTGGCTAAGATCAGTTTGCAAGACAGACAGAAAAAGCTCAGCATCGTGTGCGCACGCGTACACCAACACAGCGCTCCTCACGCCTCCCATCCAAGCCGAGTAACGCCATTCCAAGGGCAGAGGGATGCTATTAAAAACATCATTAGACATCGTGCCTACTGCAAGAAGCTCCACTGAAATGAAAGATTTTCTCTGGCTGTCCAACAGCATGTGGTATGTAAATACCAACTGAGCAGAAATTTCCAGCTCCTTCAGCCTATTCGTTGTGATTATTGCCAAAGGTGTCTTGCTGGTAAAGGTGAGGGACAATCTCCATCTGATTGATGCAACAAGACAAAAGGTTTTTCATTCTCTGCTATTGGGTTAGGCACTTCTTTCTAGTCTATTCTTAATAATATGATGCACCTAAAACACCGCTTTGTTTACTCCTGGCTCTTTTGCACTGACTTGTTCAAAGGGAGAATTTTTTTCTGAAAGATACCAGAATTTTGGTTGTGACTTAACAGCTCCCCAGAAGGGAATTCCTGTCACACAAATTATTCTGTTTAAGAGGAATTGCTTTACTCCTCAATTACCTGCCTACACAAAGCTCAGCTACTTATGGAATGTCAAAGAGAACAATGGGCACCTAAATCAACTGATGAGCTTGTTTAACTTCTGCACAACACCTGCCTTGGGAGCACTTACTCTGAGGTATTAAATTTATAGACCCTGTCTCTATTGCTGTCAGCTCTGGTTCTGTAACCCAGGCTTCACTTATCCATAACAAAATAACTGGTTCTGAAAGTGTTCACCTATGCATTGTCTGCAGGAGTGGTCTTCAAATGCAAATGTCTCAGCCTGGAAGGAAAATGCCCACTTAGTTTATAAAGTATGAAGTCAATTTTCACAACAACTGGATTACCACTGAGTAGGGCAAAGCACTGTTGCAGCAGTTTAGAACCTCAAAAGCAGTTAGATTTTCATATGGTGCTCTAGTGTTTGAAGGAAACAAGACACATTAGCAGCATTTAGAGCTTGCATTCATTATTTCCTGCTGTCTCATTTTAACAAGTTCCTCTCTCCCAGCCATGTCTTCCCCAGACATGACAAAGTGTTTGGGATTTCCATCTCAGGAATGACTATGTGTGAGATTTGGCATTAAAACCGCAGAAGAAACAGGCAGAAGGAACTGCAGGAAGGACAGAATCAGCAGATGCTCATTAAAGGGAAACGGGCTCAGAGGCACAAACTCAAATGCAGAGCAGGATTCACAATGTAGCCAAGTATTCCACAGCTTTATGTCTCTGTGGCCTCAGCAGAGAGTTTTTATATCACTCAGCACAACCACATGGGCTACCAGAGGCAGTGGCCATCCTGGATCCTGGGCTGTTCCCACTCCGAACCAAAGCACTCGCATGCAGGCCCCAGGATCAGTAGAGTTAGCGTTTGCATCGCCACACAGACTTTTGGGTTAAAAGGTTTAGGTTTGCCAGCAATGGCTGAGAAGAACAAAGTCACTCAGCAAGGCTCGGAAAGAGCAGGTCCCACATGATCTGCATGTTTGAAAGTGGATTGCTCTGGGATTTAGGCCACTCTAACATTTAGTTTCTCCACAAGCCTCTGGACTGAGGCCTGAGCCTGTCCTGTCCCTCTCACCTCTTGCAATAAATAATGAGCAGCACAGCCAGACATCAAAGGCTGCTGCTTGGCTTAGAGGCAAACCTAACACTTCTTTAATGTCTAAGTGCTTGAGAATTTCAAACAACACCTAGCACGGCCTTTCCTCAGGACTGCCTGCTAAGCTTTGCAGGAACATTAATTGCACTTAGATTTGGAATGGCAGCTTTCCTCCATTTCCACCATAGCACCCACCAGCACTTTATAAGCTGTGGGCAGGCCCAGTGTTTTCACTTTATTGGTTCAATGTTTGCACTTTACTGGAGTGAGGAGCCACCTGCAAACCAACTCCAGAGTCAGGTCTGAAGCACCCTAGCAACTGCAACAGGAGGAACTTCTTCATGTATGCCCTTCAGCCACCTTACTAATACTTCTCATTCTTATCACAGAAAAGTTAAATGGCAAAAAAAAATATGTTTCTTCCTTTTTTTTTCTCTTGGGGGAAAAAAAAAAAGTCAGAAGCCAAGCTACTGTTATTGCAAACATAAACTGTAAAATATGCAGTTTGACAACTGCATATGCCTCCCCTTACATGCAGGAAGGTACTTGGATTTTCCTCTTATATATTCTGGTTCTAATGAACCACAATGAGGGAAAAAGAGATTAACAAGCTATTGGGACCAAGTGTTACCAAAAAACCAACTATCAAAAATAAACTGCAGGAGAATGCATCATGGAAAATCATGCAACCAGTTAGATTTGAATGTCTGATTAATTTTATTGCTGTTATGTAACTGTTTGAAGAATCTTGAGGGATTGCTGTAGCTTGATTAGTTTCCTTCCAGACTCTCCCCACAGACAGACACACACAGAGGACAACAAGAAAAGCAAATTTGCTGACACAAGCAGTCTAAAGGCAGTACTTCTCATGTGTCCCATGTGTCTGAGATAATGCACAGGTGCAACAAGTCTGCAAGTATAAAACAAATCTGATACTCCTTATAACCTGGAAGTCACCATTCATGCAAATTACAGTAGTAAATTGTCCAGGTTTTCTAGAAATCCTGAGGTACTCAGCAGCTTTATCACCTCCCTAAAACCAGTGGCAATGACAAATCTGATTTATGGCACTCGAACCAATGAACCAGTTTTGAGGGAGCTGGTAACACAATTAAATAAAACACAGAAACTCTTCATGTGGGACCTGCTCTTTAATACCTTCCCAGCTCCTGTGGGGAAGTGGAAGTGGGGATAGTGTAGGGGTACCTTTAGGTGTACCCGAGTCCTCTTCGTCTGAGAGATGTTGAAGCCAGAGGCCTTGCTGCAGCTCTCTCTCCCAAGGGTTATACTCCCCCTCTACAGCAGAGGGAAGCACACATCCACATTTAACACCAGACACGCGTGTGCACACACAAGCCATGGAGAGAGGGAAAGAGAGAAAGAGAGAGGACAGGATCAGAAAGAGAGACTGCCTGGAAATGCTGCAACTCCCTGCGCTCCCGCTCCGTTCCAAGCGCCTGACAGGAAAACTGCTCGAATGAAACAACATCCGTCCAAGAACGCCACTGCTCAGCAGACTGAACACACAACATGCATGTTACCATACTTATAAAGAAGTCTTGATTTCCACAGACTTTGGACACTCAGCTCCTATATTGAGAAAGCAGCCAAGGAGCCTGCTGAGCTCATCAACGACACTGCCACTGAGACGCAAAAAACTGGACCTCTGCTCGCAGTAGGCAGCCAAAGACCTTTACGAAAAAGCTCTTTGGAGTCTACAAGTCTCCTCAAAAAGGAAATGTGAGTATAAAGACAAAGACAAGAGCAGTGAGAAATTTGGCATGGTGGTGAAACACTGGAAACATGTCTATTCTGAGCACAAACTTTGCATTTTGATGACTGAGACAAACACAGGGGAAGGAGTCTTTCCCTAGGGTTTTCCATAGAAATCTTTCAAAGCTTTCAAAGTTAAAATGGGAATCTGAAGTCCCTCACTCCTCAAGGCCATCTTTTAACTTGGTAGAGCTACAAGCACCTTCTTGTGGAATGCCCTGCTGACAGTGACAGGGCACTACCCCTTAGTGAGGCACTCTAAAACTGAAAACACTGCAGCAACAATTCTTCCAGCTCCTGCTGCCAGAGAGCAAAGGGCACATTCAAATCTAATTCCAAATAATAACAAAACCCAACCATAAGCCAATACAGCAGCAAAAGGCTGTGAATTGACATGTTGGCATGGTGTATGGGAACCATAATGTGTTAGTACTAGTACTCTAAACTGTCCTGTGGGCAAAGTCCTTCAGTATCCAGAATGAACCACCTCAAGCTCTCCTCAAAAATAACTCCCTCAAAAATCAGAGCAACTAAGAAGTGAAAGAAGGAATAAAGTTTTCCAAGGCAAATCTTTCTTATTCTGCATGGCAAATACTTAACTCATTTTTCCCTGCTAGTTAGCAGAAAGAAAGGACAAAAAGCAGAAAAAAAGGACAAACCAATCTAACCTTCACTTGACTCTTCATCTTCTTCCTCTTCGTATTCCTCTTCATCATCATATTTGTACTCAATCTCATGATTTTGCTCAGCCTCAATCTCTTCTTCACTCTTTCCCTTCAGGAGGGCATGGATACGCACGGCTTCTTTCCATGGAACACCACCCAAGTCTGAAGGGGGCTGCTGAGGCAGCAGTAGTTCATCATCCTCCTCCTCATCTTCCTCCTCCATCTCAGATTCTGAACTACTGTAAGGTTTTAGGAAAAAAAAAAAAAAAAAAAATATTATATTGCTAATACTAAATTATAATATTAAAGATTATGAAGTCAATGTTTTCTTGATCAGTCTTAGATCATTAACAAGTCATTTTTACACACATAAACCTGATAACACTGATTTTCAGCTTTCAACCTTTCATAGGCCTTTTAGTGACAGCATCACCTGTGGGCTGCAGTATGGTCCTTGCCCTGCTGCTTTCAAAGAAGGTGAGGCAGCAGAAAAATGCCTGTGAAGCCAAGTCCAAATATTTGTGCAGCATTTATTGTTACATTTCAAGACAACTGAATACAACAGAAAGAAACAATTTTCCTCATATCACATTGCTCTTGATAAATGGGTGCAGGAGTTCTTTACAGGATCAGAATGTAGAAGGCCATGTCTTTTGATATAGAAGCTACTGCTAAAATACCTAAGATGATTTTGGCACTTGCTTCTGTGAACCAGAGAAATCTTTGGGAGTAGAAAGAATACAAAATACATCAGGCAAAGGATACAGCATATGAACTAAGGAGAGATGGAGGAAAAAAAACCCAAAGATGTCTCACTTTTCTGCATCACAGAAATATGTATCCAATTAAGCACACAGTGTACATGGTGGCAAGAAACTGTAGGAATCAGTGCAAAGATAATTCCAATAATGAGATTATTATTCCCACAGCAAAGTCTAAACCATGCAAAGCCATAAATCATTAGTGCCTTTCAGAAATCACCTCAGTTTAATCTAACATTTCCTCAGCATATGCAGCAGAGGCAGGAAATGTAACCACTTAGCCAGTGACATTTAATCTAGCTCACTTACTTGCCGGACTACCTAGAGGGACTGAGGAGAGAGATGTTTGCATTTGTCACTGGAAAATGAGTGAGGACCACAAAACAGATCTTCTCTGCAGGGTGAAAAGGTGTTCTAGCTTTGATTTACCTTAATGGACCACTGTCATAACAGAACTGCATTAATTAGAGCAACTGTTGGATGATTCCACTATAAATCTTCAAAGGCCCAATTCATCTGACTGAAGGAGAAAACTGAGAATAATGAAAGTTTGGGTGAAAAATCTGGGAATAGTATTTCTGTTTCCTTATGCCCACATCATTGGCCTTTGGTAGAACCCATTCCACGTGGACAATGAAAGGGAAAATCAACAAGTTGAAAGTAATGAAGTTTACACTTCATGTAGGTCTATAAAATACAAATTGTACAGTTGTAGCATCATATTTACATAATTTTATTCATCTACTTGTCTGAGAGGCTATTTTTGATAGCAAATCTAATAAGGAAAACACTTTGTTCATGCTCTGATTGTCACACACTTTTGTCCATAGGCTCTTAAATTCTCCTGACTGGTCTGCATACAAATAACATTATTTTGCTCAAATTACAAGCTGCTTTTTCACAGCATAAACTCAATAGTTATTTTTAACACACTGCCTGCTTTTCACATGTGAAATACTGAATACAAACACTGTTGGCAAGCCATGGGCTTGGTGCATGGAGGCCTGAGCATATTCCAAAGGCTTTCTACAGATACTGTCACAGAGATAAAAGCTGATGTTCCCCTTCTCCCTGATTTACTGTCCCACCCTTTAGCATGGAAATAAACCTGACAGGTGCTGCATGCTGGGGGCTTGGTGTGCTGTCAATAAGGTTTACTGCTGTTCAAATTGTTGCCATGGGTGCTGGATGGGATGAGCTGCTGCTCTTCCACCAGCCGGCTTATCGCATGGAGGAGTGACGACACAAATTCTTCACCACACAGCTCACTTTACCTTCTTTGGCTTTTATTTATCACTTGGCTTTTGTTTGACCTTTGAATGCTGAGAAATGAGAAGCTGAAAGACAGCAGTGAGAGATGGTGTGGTATAGTGAGCATTCCTTTCAGCATAGAAACCCTGTGCCATAGGAATTGATTCGACAGCTGAAATTGTATTTTCCTATAAATCAGAAATCAAGGACCAAGGTAGGCTGCTCTACAGAATTTACATAAGCAGTTGAGTATCTCATTAGAAAAACGTGTATGTACACAGATTTAGTGCTGAGGAAAGGAACTGAAACCTAAACTGTGGCAATGAATCTCTTCTCTTCCCTTGCCATACAGACCTCTACAGCAAGCAGGACACGACACCAAAACTGGAGATGGCACACTGAGGGCTACAGCAACTTAAAAGCAATGAATAAGCCATGCAAGTGGTTTCCCACACCTCAGACTCCTGTGCAGTCTGGGTTTAGTTGCTAAATTAATCTTTTTTCTTATTGAAACTTAAATAAGATTAGCTCTCTTTTGAAAGAATATACTTTGAATACTGTTTCCTGTAAACTTTCTTTGCAGTGTGTGTGTGTGATGCGAAGCTGTGCACCAAAATGTGAGGTCTCTGCCTGATTTCCATCACCTCAGTGAACCCTGAAAGCCCAACCCATCCTTCATAAGACATGGAGGGAACAAAGAGTTCCCCATCTCCTCTTCCTCCTAGAACAGAAACTACACGATGAAATGTCTCCGTGTTTCAAAAACTTTAGAAAGGACAATGCCAACAGTTAAAAAAAACGGAAAGGCAGGCAAAGTCTGATGGAATGGGTGTAGAAAAAGCTGGTGGGCAGTGTGTGCTGACCTGCTGGGCACATCCTCCTCTGTCCCTTTGTCCAGCACGCTGCTGAGGTTGTGCTCTGCCAGCGTCTCCTCGGGGACCTCCTCCAGCTCCTCCTCGCGCTGCAGGGACAGCCGGTAATTCTCCAGCTCGATGCGCTCGGGAGTGCCCCGCAGCCGCTTGGCCAGGCTGGGCTCCTCCAGCCCGTTCACACTGGAACCTGAGAACAAGCCAGGCAACAAACAACAAATGCAACAGTCAGAAATTCACATTTTTAAGAAAATTGAGCAGTTGGGAGAAAAGGGGCACGAGGCAGAGGGAGGTAAATAAAGCGAGAGAATACCTTACGTCATTTTCCTGTTCGCCACTACTGGGAAGCCAGACTGCAAAAGGGAAGCTTAGTGGTTTTGGCTAACTGCTGTGAGTTAAAACTGGCACCAGCCAAGGGAAATCTACAGAGTTCAGGAGCAAAACAATATTGTTACTACTTAAAGATGAGGGAAGGAATGAAAAAGGCCAAGTTTTAAAACTTTTAATAGACTTGAATCGATTTGCTTTTTAATCAGAATTTGTAACAAATCACAGGGACAAATCTCAGAGAGACATCTGCAAGCAAAAATCCCAGAAATCCCCAAAAATTGCAGGGATATGTGAACCAGACAGTTGTAGAAAAGTAATGAGAAGCTTCATTCACTGTAACACCCAATGAATTTTATTTTACCCTGCTTTCATCCACTTATTTTTTAAAATTGCAATATTTTAGCTTGAAAGCTGTTTTAGCTGTTGACCCCTTACACAATTTACTATTCACAGAGCCCAATATTTCCATCCTTTTGTTTTGTTTTGCTAAACAAGCCAAACCTTCTCACTGAAGATAAGCTCTTCAGTGCACTGATCATTCCCATGGGCTCTGCACCTGTTCCAGTTTGGATTAATCTTTCCAGAACCTGGGTGATTAAAAGTGAACGTGGCTTTCCAGATGAGGCCTTTATCAATGTAACACACAAACCTCTCATCTGATACATGCTGAGAACACACCTGCCTATTTATACACCACATAATACTGGTGGCTTTTATGATGTTTAAATCTTTTCCCTTCTTTGCTTTCAACTGGTAAGCACTTTGTTGGTAGCAAAAATTCTCAGCATCTTCTTAGTGCATGACCTGGTACTTTCCACTATTAAGTTGCTAAGTTTAATCTAACAGTTGGCAACATTTTGCAGCTCTTAGTGAATGACGTGCCTGTCCTCCTCTGCATTGATGAGGGTTTGAAATGTTGCCTCAGCACTGAATTTCATTAGCAGATTTTTTTCCTTTTTTTTTTTTTTATTATTATTATTTGGATTTTTTAGGTTGTTTTTTTTTGGTTTTGGGCTGGTAACTTTAGTGACAGTATTACAAAGATCAGTCCCCAGAGATCACTTTTTGGGACACTACTGACAATAATGTCCATGTGTCAGCATTCCTGTGCTTTACTCAAGTCCAGACTGTTCAAATGCACTATAATTTCTCTCATGGAGGTATCAGGTGTCAATAAAAGCCAGTCCAGCACAGTCTCTGGTGAACCCATGCCACATTTTATAGCACTTACCTGCATGAGGTCAAAGGACTTCCCTTGCAGAACTAGCAGGTTTTAGTTATTCCTTAAAAGAAGGTGTTAAACCTACTGTTTAACTGGTATGTACTTGTTCAGATCACTTTTTAAAGTTTTTTATTTATTTTATTTTTAGTTTTTTATCTGCAGGACATACTTGTGACCAGTGGTCACATAGCATTTCCTGAATGAGACAAAGTACATCAAGACAGCTTGATTTAATCACAAATTGTTACCACCAAGCTCACAATTTCATTTTTACACTTCTCCCACTCTTCTGAGACAAAGACTATTTGCTTCATTGTATTAGTCTTAATTTCCCAATCTTGCTACACAGTGACTCTTTTGCTCCCATGTCTGATTGACTATACATAAAATTGCATTTTATTTTGGCTCCATCTTCACTATGAACACACTTCTGCTTTCCCTTTACCATGCTTTTACTTAAATGCTTAAGAAATAGAGCTCTTTGCTCTCCTTTGCAAAGTCTAACCCAGCATGAGCTTTGGCAACATTTACTATATCCTCACACATTTTAATGTCCAAACCAGCTTCTGTTTCCTTTCTTCATCCTTTGTAGTTTCTCACTTTATTCCTAACAGGTTTTTTTTCAGGACAGTTACTCACTCAGTACCACCTTCATATTTCACACCAAATTACACAGGTCTTTACATAATTACTGGCACCTATTTCCAATCCCCCCCCTTCAAAGATAAACTGCCAGAAGTGTTATTCTCTCTTCCCAAATATGTTTTAACCTTTCCACGTTGTGGGCAAGTGGCTGCCATGCCTTTAGCTGGAACTACAGAGCTTCTTCATGGTATAAACAAATAAACTTGCTCAGGTGGCAACACCACCTTGCATTTCCAGGGATGCTGTGGTCTGCACCATTTCCTACTGCTAAGCCTTCTGTTGTGCTTTGATTTGCAGAGTTTAGTGGAATTGATCTGCCTTTTTCACTGGGATTCACATTTCATTTCATTCTCTCTCTTGATGGTGATACCAACTCTGCCAAATCTATCTTTGCAATTTGTGCTGCATTACCCAACCCTGAGCTCACATTAACAGGGGAACTGACCTCAAATTTTGCTCTGCTACTTTGGCTGACAGTAAAAAACACCACAGGGCTCTGATTAACACCAAGGTCAGGGGAAACAAACAAGGAATATACTAAAATAATGATTTAAAAAAAAGGTTTTGTACTACTCAGAACTCTTTTTACACAGAGCCATCAGCAAGGCTCAGCTACTTTAATAGGAATGTCTTTCCACAAGCTGTTTTTAACTTATTCTCTTCTGATGCAAACCCTGATAGAGCTGCAAAGTTCACAAGAAAAAGAATTCTGAAAACCAAAGAACAAGAACTTTTATCCATCTGATATATTATTTCACTCCTTTTGTTTTGTAACTATCTTAGGGGCTTTTTGTCAGCTTTCTCAAAGAAAAAAAAAAATCAAACAAAACAAACAAACAAAAAAGCCCCAAACAAACAATTTCCATATAATTAAATGGAGTAGAGTTCTTTAAAAAAAAGGCTGTTTCAATACTCCAATATCTAGTGTTGGGAGAAAGATTGGCAGCAACCCCTGTAGCATAGAGAAGGACTGAAAATCAAGCTGACATCTGTTCATATGTATTTTATGAGCATATGTGATCCTTCAGGTGAGTTTTTCTAACCAAAAATCATCAAAAAAACCCAGTGTAACTGGTACACAGAGAATCAAACAAATCCTATCACAGCACAAACTGCAAGTGGGAGTGACTCAATGCAACTGTGTTAAAAATCTTACAAGATGGAAAATCAGTCTCTATTTGTCCTGGTTTAGGGCAAATTTGGGAGTGAATGCAAAAAGATGTGGTCAAGCCAGGATGTCCTGTGAGCTTGACAAGCACTCCATGCCTTGAAATCTCAAAGTAGGAAGGGCATTCCCAGTGCTTTCTCTTATTAATTTATTTATCTGTACACTTGAGATGCAAAAGTGGTCACATCCCTCCACTCCACTCCACCAAGAAAACATCTCTGCATCAGAGAATATGACACAGAAACTCCACTGACTACCAGTTAAACATGGGATTTCTAGGAATTTGCCCTACACAGACTATTTAGTCTGCTACATGTGTCAGTTTTGTTTCTAAGAGGTGCCATGCATTTAGCCAATCTGGCTGCCTGCAGAGCCACTGCCCAACTCCTTACCAAATATGAAACAAGGGAAATTATACTGACAGCCAACTCTCTGCACCATGAAGCCATCCAGTGTCAGAAGGAAAAGCACTGCACTTCACTTATACAAGGGATAAAAGTAAGAGTGAGATACAGGTATCACTGAAGTGTTCAGATGATGGACAATTTCCTCATTTTATACTCTAAAGTTCACACCAACTAATTTGAAGTCAGAATTAAAAAAAACCCTCAAAACATAAAAATACAACAATAAAAATATAAATAAGACTGAGGAATTTTGAAGCTTGCCATCTACCACCTACTAATTTCTCCCTCATATATATATATGAATTATGCCAAATGCATGGGCAAACTCCATTCCAATGCAGTTCTTGTAAACCTACAGCTCTTCTGGAGAGGAAAGCTGCCTCTCTCCAACCAATACCCTGCATTTCCCAGGCTGTTTTGTAGCTTGCTGGCAGGGAACAGCTGCAGAGTGCACTCAGCCAGTACCTGACCTTCTGCTTGGTCACTGCATCAGAGACAAAAGTCAGCAAGCACTCCCAAGTGAGAAAAAGGGCTGATGTGGCTGCATTTGCCAGGAAGAAAAGTTGTGTTACTACCCAGAGAGGGGAGCTACCTCAAAGCCAAGTGTAGCTTCTTGAACAATCAACTGATCAGCTCAAAACTCACAACAACATCCAAAATAGGATACATTTTAAAATCTGATTCTTTACTTTGGAAAAGTCAGTGGGCCATGAACATTACATAGATCATCTGAAGGGAGCTGTTTTTCTTAACAGGACAGGCTGCTGAGCTGGTGCATAAAAGCTGCCAGAGGCCTTTATTTATCTCAGCTTTGACAGAGCTTGCCTCCTGAAATGATAAGTGTCTGATCAGAGATAACATTCCAAACAGAACTGCTCCTTGCCTGCATGAGTGTGACCTATTCCAGCAATTCTGGCAATTCCTGGAAGGTTTGGGGAGCTCCTCTTGAGAGAGGATCCCATCTCAATTCACTTCCAGTATTACCTTGCTCTGTAAAATCTATGCATTATTCACGTGGGCTCGATGAAATCCTGCCCAGGTTCCTCCTTGACACAACAATTCCAATGCTGAAGATGCAGGAGAGAGCTGGGAATCTGAGAACAATGAATTCTTCCCAAAAGAAAAAAAAAAATACCTGTCTCTTTTACTAGAAGCTGTTTTTCAGTAATCATGCAGTACCTCCAGACTTGCTTTTCTTAGCTTGCTATCCTAATATCTGATTGAGGTACATGTCATCTCTTGTCCAGCATTTTGCATAGACTCAGCTGTGGCCTTGGGGAATTATGGAAATTCAAATTAAAGAGTTTACTTTGAAACAAATGCAAAAGGGGGAAGGAATTAATACACTCTCAGGAAAACCTTCATTATGCATTTCCCAAAGCTTGTGGTTTTGTGGTAATGTGAAATGCTGTACCTGT